AGTTGGGACGTATACAGAGGCGGATGTTGTTATAGTAACTACAGGCAGTCAAAGTCAGTGTCGAAGAGATTCGAAGAGAGAACGTAGTACTTACATGGTGTGGGGCATGAGGCAGGTGCCGTCATCGTGACTGGCATGCTGAATTCGATATCCTTGACTGTCTCGGTGGTCGTCGCCGTCGCCGAAGGGGAAGTCGCGTAGTAATCATACTCAGGCACAAGATCAGATTCGGCCACCGCACTAGTTGTGTAATACGCGTATACGACCTCAAGATTGTCGTAGTAGCCGAGGGCTGTGGAAGTTGAGTACGGTGCGATCGTAGGAGTGACTCCATCCTTTATAGTGCGGTACTCAGTGTAAGTGTCGGTAGTGACGGTGTCGTCATAATATGTGTACGGGCTTTGTGTGACAACCTCCACTTGAGCGTAAGTGTAGGTCCAGTACGCTGAAGTGTCACGAGTGGTAGTGTAGTCATCCAAGAACTGCGCACTCGCAATGGCGGCATTAGCGACCGCTACGAGGGCGAATCGGGCAGCCATATTGCTATGCGCTGCGAAAGTAACGATCGTGGGTCGCGAAACGCGAAAATTAGGTATTAGTAAAGTTGTAGGGCTGTCTCTAGCCGTCAGGGCCACGCCCTCATCTTAAGCACCATCAAGCACCGCGCCGCCGACCCAGACAACTACATGGCTAGCTCACCGGTCGTGCAAAGCGTGCAGGCACATCTCGTTTCCCCTTAAGCGACTGATGCAGCCTTGCGCCTCTTCCAAGCTCCGTCTCTTTCAACCAATCATGCTGTTTTTGCCAAGCGAGTTAACCAATCCCGCGGAAGATCTAGACGTTTAGCGACATTGAGCCGTCTATCTTTGGGTCCATGCGGCTCGTTGCAGACTCATTTTCTGCAGGGGTAAACAGGGCGCCTGAAGGATTAAAGACCTTGCACTGCCCTTGCCTTTATTGAAAAGGTGACTCCGACTCTTACTGAGCATGATGAACTCGCCAACATGAATGTTTTGGCCATATAGATGCTGCAAAGGTCCTGGACGAGAGACAGACCGAGAAAGCCAACAATACGGCTTGTTAGTGATGGTTGCGCGATGCAGAGGGGTGGTTGCACAAGTCAGAATTCGTTTTGGTGGCGTTCTCGTACGACAAGTGCGACGTCTTGGCGACACCTGAACAGTCATCCTCGGCAATTTCGCGTTGGGAGTCCCTTCCTATCACGTTCATCTCACAACCAGATATCACAGAATTATACGCTGCTTACGGTATCAATATTGAATAAAACTTCCGCGACTGCCTCCAGAGATATGGAGGATGTCACTGTCATGCTCACAGGTCTTCATGCCTCGATGCCCTGTCTCTTTTGTTGCCATCTCGAAAGCAACTCTGCTTTAGCTAACGAGTTGTCTAAGTTACAACGCATATTCAGCATGTTTCCGCCTTCTACAGCTACTCTGCCGCTGTAAGTCTCGCAACGTCCATTCGCTAGAGTACACCTTCGGTGCCGGACCGTAGTTGCATGCACGGCGCACCTTTCGCTTCGTCGAAGGGCACGTAACGATCGTCCGCCAGACTTTGGCCACGCCGGTTGATGTAACAAGTGCCATAGCTGTGTGAGGTCGCCGGAGATGTAGAGACCACCTAATCACTAGTAACTCCATGGCCAGTTTCTTGACTGTGCTTTTGCGACTGTTCATGAAGGCGTTGGAATGACCCTGGTTGTGGCATACTTCGTCTTCGATTGTGACTCACGCTGAGTATAAAGTGGATGGCTGCGAATATACCTATTTGCGTTCGTTCTTCAGCAGACCTTGCTGGGAATTTACATCTCTTACCACTATACCAACTCGTACTGTTTTCCAATGTGGCAGTGCATCTGCACTATCTTTGCTGGGAGTGGAAGAACCGAGACAAGTTTCCACAAATGGAAATCCATCGATGCTTTGGGCCCTGAGTATGAGCGCACGAAGCAAGACATCATCGGTAACTACGCCCGTTACTGCCGTTACCCGGACTCTACTGACTAAAGCCTGTGTCGCAACGTAGATGTCTGGGACCCAAATTTGTCGGGGAACTCCCTCAATGCCTTCAAGGTGCTCGTCGAACGGGAATACGTGCACCGCTTTAGGGGAACCCAGAGATATCAAGCGCGTGTTGTATCTTCAGCTGGTGGAGAGCCACTTAGTGCTGCAGCAGTGGGCGATACAATTCCAGAAGCATTGAACAAGCTGTTGTTGGGGGTTCGGCAACTTCGAGGTCCACCACCGGGGTATCATTGCCCAGGTGATCTTTTAGTAAGATCGAGGGTTCAGTCTTGAATGTCTGTATCATCAGAGGGGTGATCGAACGGGGCTACTGCGCATCAACTAAGGTTTGCAAATAGCACGAGGGTGCACTGCAGTGCCAGTTGGCAGAATTCTCCAGGTCACCTAGGACGCGCGGATAGTCTCCATCGTTCATCGCGTTTGCGAAGCATTTGACATGTCTATATCAAAAATAACAACGGCAACCACCTCATACCCTTGCGTGAATGTTGCGCTTGTTACGGAAGTTCTACCCTGCTGGTGTGCAAAGTACCACTGTTCAATGAGAGGGGCCCGTTCGGGTTCGATGCGCCTTCAAAAGTGTCAAAGTCTGGAATGAACGATTTTGGCCGTCCGAGGCTAAATTTCGGTCTTGTTCGTAGTTTTGATTGAGGCGAGGAATTGATGTTGGTCTTGTGCGACATCGTGTTGGTGGCAGGACGGGGTAGTGCAAAGGCACACCGTTGTCACGCGCCCAGCCCAGGCCCCGCCGTGTCACCTAGGTAGCTCCGCGCCACTTCATTAACCACCAACACCAACACCAACACCAACAGTAGCTCGGAAGCTTGATGACAATCGCTTCGAAGCAGTCATGGGGTCAAAGTCTCCAGAAGATCATCGCCAAGGCCCAGACGGTGAGCGCGATGGATGCGATTCCGAGAACACCTATGCTGACAGCTGACAGGGTCGTCGGCGGACGCTGCAATCGCTATCATCAACCCTCCCAAGCCAGCAGCCGCTAGCGGACTGCTTCCAGGCGTACTCGAAGGGCAGGATGAAGACGGAGACGACGACGATGATATCGCGAAGCTTGGAGCTGACGTGAAGAACAACGATGGTGAGCTGGGATCACGTGACTTTAATCTAACCCGTGGACGCTGACAATCGGAAGGCGCGAAGAAGAAAAGAAAGCGCAACAAGAAAAAGAGTAAAAAGGTGTCACCGACACAGCAGACAGCGCCCCCGAGGGTGCCGCTAGCCGATCTGTACCAGGGCCAAAAATACCCGCAAGGTCAGACTGTCGAGTATGCCATCAAGGATGAGAACCTTCAGCGTACCACGGCTGGAGAGCTTCGTCATCTGGCCGCTGTGGACAACATGGATGAAGACTTCCTTGAGGACTATCGCAAGGCTGCTGAAGTCCACCGTCAAGTGCGCCAGTACGTACAGACTATCGCGAAGCCCGGCGCGTCTCTCACCCGCATCGCCGAAGAGATTGACGACAGTGTTCGTACGCTTGTTGGCCACCAGGGTCTTGAGACTGGAGATGGTCTCAAAGCTGGCCTCGCCTTTCCAACAGGCTTATGCTTGAACAACATCGGCGCACATTGGACTCCTAATGCGGGAGCGAAGGAATTGTTCCTTCAAAACGACGACGTCCTCAAGGTCGATTTCGGCGTGCATGTTAACGGCAGGATCGTGGATAGCGCTTTCACTGTGGCTGCCAATCCGATGTATGACAACCTACTGGCTTCTGTCAAGGCAGCTACCAATACAGGCTTGAAAGAAGCAGGCATCGACGCAAGGATCGATCACATTAGTGAGATGATTCAAGAGGTCATGGAAAGTTACGAAGTCGAGCTCAAAGGGAAGACCATTCCCGTGAAGGCGGTGCGTAACATCACCGGCCACAACATCCTACGTTACCGTATCCATGGCGACAAGCAAGTTCCCTTTATCAAGACCAAGACTTCTCAACGCATGGAGGAAGGCGAAATCTTCGCGATCGAAACCTTCGGTAGCACCGGCAAAGCGTATCTTCATGACGATGTTGGCGTATACGGCTACGGACGCAACGAGGGCGTCAGCGCTGCCGGCCTCCATCATTCGTCCGCGAGATCGCTATTGAAGACCATCGACGAGAACTTTGGGACTCTGGTCTTTGCTCGCCGTCAGCTTGAACGTTTGCCGCGTGTGGAGAAATACCACCTCGGTATGCGAACGCTGGTGAACAGTGGGATCGTCCAGGCATATGCGCCGCTGGTGGATATCCCAGGGTCATTCATTGCGCAGTTTGAGCATGTAAGTTATTGCCCGTGGGAATCAGAAGGTTATGACTGACTCGATACCTCACAGACTGTTTTGCTCAGGCCCAATTGCAAAGAGGTTGTCTCTCGGGGTGACGACTACTAAACAACAACGCTTCACTGAGTTATACTAGACTTCAACAGTCGGCATAAGAGTTTTCAGATAAGACGTTTCAACACGTCTCGGGCTCTGTTCTCCTACATGATTAGCGACACGCACCACACTCCTTTATTACCTAAAAAAATCACAATCTGCTTCTGCGCACAATGTTTGTTCCAGCGCAGACCAAGTAGCACGCCCTTATTATCACGAAACTTCTAGGAAGGCTATACAGTGATCTCTCACTCACACTTGCTCTCTGGTTGCTTCCTCACTTGTGGTTATATGCATCTGATCGAACCACCGTGTAATATTGTGACTACAATTGATCACCCTCGCATGAGGTTGACAGAGTGGGTATGTAGGTTATGAACATTTCATCTGGGGACCAACGAGTTGTTGTGTGGCACTCACTTCCCGCGCATGAGTCAATACAGTGACTACTCGTTGAGTCACTACCGATACAAAAGAGGAATCTGTTCAATCACACACTTGTACACCATCATGTCCTTTCTGAAACCTTCCTCCAGACAACAAGCTGCCGCTGCTGATTACATTTCTCGCACAATGCCCAGAAGAGACCAAGAGCCAATCCCACAAACACCAGACTCCTCTGATGACGAGAATGAGCGACAAGCGGCAGAACCCACATTCGTTTTTGAATATCGCCTTACCAATATCGAGCGTGTTCTGAAGTCACGAACCGGACTCTTCAGAACTTTCCGAGGCTGCTTGATCGCCTTTTGGTACCGCAAACAAGTCAAGGCACTTGTGGCTTTGTTGGATGGATTGGGTAAGTTGATGACACAATTTGATAAGCTGTTCAGCCCATAGTCATTAACGTAATAGCTATAGAGAGTCGAAACAACTGGGCGGGTATCAAAAGATACATTCGTTTGAGATTCACGGTGACAGAGAAAACGCAGGGAGGCACAGTCTTTCTGATTCGAGAAGTGAACGGCAAAGACGAGGACGTTAAGAAGCATGACACTCCGTGCTATATAAACAAGCAGTTTTTGGAGCGCCTTCGGCCTATGGTAGTCGTATAGAGTTACTTCTACATGCCATTGTTCTTATTGGCTTTGCAAGTCATACTTCCAAGTGCGCAGGCCACCAAGAGTGACTCTTACAATTTGTTCTTGTGTATCTACGTGTATTTGGTCTGACTCTGCTTTCTAGCTCTCGATGACTGTGAGTAGGTAAAGTCACGGGTGACGCAAGAGACGATGTCTCTTTCGATGAAGATATTCGAGTCCTCTTAAACACTGCCACGATAAAAGGAATCCATAGTTTTCCCTCGAACGAAGCACCAAATCATGAAATGCTACCCCGCCATTACACGCTTCCGGCAGAAGGATAACAAGACACCCAAAGCGAATGAACCCATTCGCTTCGAAGTCAAACTCTCAGTGCTTCAACATTCCGTAGACTCGCACACTTCCAAAGAGGGCGTTTCTCCAAATTTGTCTGCAGCGCATATGGATGAACTGAGAGAACGCTTGAAATACTTGAGTAAGCATCTGGTCGCAAAGAAGGCCTAGGAACTATGGACACTAAGACTAACGCTGCTAGCGAACAACACTACTGAGATCAAATGGTTCGGGAAGAACCGACTCATCGTCCGGTTCGAAAAGATTAGAGAGAACGAATATCCCACGCTGGGCATCGTCCGGCCAGACTTTTGACTGTCCAGGAGGATGCAGCTACGACAAGGAGGCTTCCCTTGCAAACTCAGCATGGAAGTCGTCAAAGAAATCGAAAGAGAGATTCAGAATTGGAAGAGCTCCAATAAATTGTAGTAGGAACGAGCAGCTACTCAATCAGCGTCCTCTAACGTCTGACTAGGTACATGCAAAATGACGTGGGTGGACTGTACTTGGGAAGGTGGTCAAGGAATTGGATGAGACTACATTCTGATCGTTAGATAGGTATCAGAAGCAAATAAGACATGGTGTTCATAAGACGGCAGTCCTTCGTGATAGAATCATTCATAAATGGGAACGTGTATATCACTGTTTATACCAAGGCGTGCCCTATATTATGTGTCACCCTATTCGAAAGACTATGTGCATCTGTAAAGGGATCATACATTCCGAAGTTGACTCACGTGTGACTTGACCGACAAGATGTTGACTGGCAATGAAGACTCACAGTTGGGTATAAATTCAATCACTTCCTCATCAGAATAACTCCACAAACACCACCAACACTACCTACTATCGCTGTCTACGACTTCTTATCCATACTTATCATTCAAACTATCGAACGTCCACCATGCCGGGTAGAACCTCAAATTACACTCCTGCAGAGGGCGATGAGCGCCAAGTAGCGGAACGGCAGGAAACCCCTGGAGAATATACAGAAGAAGAGCTGATCACCAAGGAGAGCCTCATAGGCAAGTACCCAAAGATCCAGTCGTGATGTCAGGGATTCGCGGACATTGGCACAAGCATGCTAATGCTTGATTAGAGAAGGTCCTCATGATCTTCGCAGCTGAAGGCGTCGAATGCGGGGAAGAGGACCTCAAATTCACGCTTGGGCCCAACTCGAGAGGACCTGGATACAACGCTTACATCGGTCTAGCGGAAGACAATACGATGAACTTTATCGGGAGAGGGCGATACGAGAGCGATGCACTTGAGGCTTTGGATGATGTACTCAACCAAAGGTTGGACGAGGCCAGACGACGTTTGGAATAGAGAATTGAGGGAGAATTGAGGGAGTGAAGTCTGACTAAGCCAAAATGTCGATGGAGCTGAGTCGTCATATGATGTGGACAGCTCAGCAGTCTTGACTGAGAGGTAGAGAGACGTGTTGCGCCTCAACCAAACAATACATCCCTGTCTCTTCATGATAAAACAGAACACCTCGCATGAGCAAAGACCACAAGAGTTTGACGAGGATGTGTGAATCATTACGAACTACCATGAACAGAACTATGCTGACTATAAAAACGCTGGGCACATGAAAGCGGGACAGTGACTCCGCGCGATGGAATGAGATGTAATACAGACTGCTGTGAGATGTCGTTTAACCAAAGACCAACGCCCTAACCTCAATACTTTCCCTACCAACCGCACCCTCTGGTGTCCTTGGGTCCACGAAGGCCGTGTGCGGTACACGTCCCCACTGACCTACATTCTCATCGCTATCGAAGCACTTCAACAGCAAACGATCCTCATTCGTCATGCCAGACCAATAGTACCACTTCTGCCCCGGGTTATACGCCACAGCCGCCGTCTGCCCGTTGCGGTCAGGGTAGCGATGTTCAATAGGTATCAAATCGCCGTCGCGCACTGTCTGGCTATCGGCAACCGCCAGTGGGCTGCCCATAACGGGTCCATTGAGCGGCCGCCATACATTGATGATGCGGTACCGTCCTTGTAGCAGTTGTTCGGCTTCGTCAGGAAGGTGGAATTTGACTCGTTCGGCGGCGGAGAAAGGTGTTTGATCGATGTGTACGCGCTGGACGGGGTTGCGGTTGCCGGTCGGTCGGCGGATCGTGTGGTCGAAGAGGAGGACTCTTTGCGCGCCTTGTACGTTCTTCATGAGCAGTTGCTCTACTTCTGGGTAGTATACGCGTTTTACCGCGTCGTCGTCTGCGAAGCCATCTCTGTCCAGCCCGCTCTTGATGTTCTGGTATGTGTCGAAGGCGTTGTTGTCTAGAGTGAATTTCTGCTCCTGACCTCGTAGATCCTTGAGTTCGACTTTGGTCCAGTCGTCGCCCCAATTCCGTTGTGGCACGCCTGGGAGCGGCTCGACGTAGTTGTGTGGTGGTGAGCCGTCCTCGGGGGCTTTGTAGAAGGACAGCGAAGCTGTTACGGGGCCGCGAGGGATGGGCAGGCCTTGGTAGTTGACGTCGGAAGAGGTTGTATCGCTGGTGGTGGGCGTAGGGTCGGAGAGTTGGTGGGCGGGTGTCGGAAGAGAGGCGGTGGTCGTCATCTTGGTGACTGTTATGCTAGATTTGTTCGCAATCGAAATGAGAAGGGTATGGTCTAAGGTTTGCGAAGACTAGATCGAGGGTGGTGATGGTGGCTGCTGGATCAGTGGCTGTACGGTAAGTTGTTTGGATATCGGATATGATCAAGGACAGCTTCGATGCTGTTATATACGCCTATGCGATTAGAAATGCTTCCTACCATTGCGACGTCAAGTCGCCCTTCATCCGCCGGGGCTTCCCCTCATTCGGCATCTCTGTGGCGATGATGCCATAGCTCTATTCCCGAGGCCAAGCTGTGTTACTAATGCCCATCGTCCAATGACTGTGTGCGTGCTGACAAAGTACGCGAATTGTGTGCTAGAGGTAGCTATTCGACAATGCGCGCTCGTTTGCCAGTGGTTGGCGTGGTGGTTTGTAACAATTGCGTGGTTTCTAAGCCAGCGTTCATTAAGGGATGAGCAACTGTCCGGAGATGGTGCGGAGATAATTCGGAGGGTCAATTGCGTCATACCTCGTGCATATCCGTAGCGGAACGCTGCTCAACACCATCACCTTTCTACTTCAGCTCTTCATGGTACTCACGATGCCAGTATCACCTTGGTATATGTTCGTTATTAGTTGTACAAACATGGCCATACGCCAAAGAACTTGCATGGCTTCGTCCGCGGACCCATCCCAAGCGACGAACCGAAGCGTTCGCGACCACTGGCGATGCGACTGAAACAGCGCTGAAGCACTGAGCTTATGTAGACAGGCCAACACTACAATAGAGGCATCTACGATACATCTATGCGCATCTAGGCCATTGTCTAGCTGTAGCATGTCTAGCGGCATCGGTCTTCAACTCGCTTCTAGCCGTGATTGCCGTCTTCACCAGCATCAATTGAAGCCAAGGCATGCTACTTGTTGGTGGCGTGCGCTTCTACGATGGATAATGCAGAATTCGATGAATGCAAGCGCTCATCGCACGCATCGACGCGTCGCGCCAGTGCCTAATGCATTGGACCCCCTCTACAAGCACTCATGCGTCGTCTCAACGTCATCATGTTCGCATTGGACTGTGACATCGTTCCTCCACCTTTAAACCACATAAAGGTCGCAACCACTATAAACATATCTCAACATGCTCCGACTCTTCTCAAGAAACCTTCCCACAGCTTCCAAATCTATCACATCCACATTACGAACAAATCAATTCATCCCCAAAACTACATATCAAATCGTCAGAAACATGAGTGGCGGCAAGGCTAGCACTGATGAGCTGAAGGGCTCAAAGCTCTTTGATGTTTCTCATGTTACCGCTCTCGTTACTGGTGGAGGAACTGGTATCGGTTTGATGATCACACAAGCGCTAGTCGCAAACGGCGCGAAGGTCTACATCACATCAAGACGTGACGAGGTGCTGAAGAAGACGGAGGAGCTGTACAGCGGTGGTGGTCCAGGCCAAATCATTCCCATTCAGGCAGATGTCAGGTAAGCAAACTCTTCGTCGATACCATCATGAGTATCGATACTAACACTACCCAGCGAGAAGGACGATGTAAAGCGCCTCTACGAAGAGATGTGCCAAAAAGAGCCCAAAGGTATCCAAATCCTCGTGAATAACGCCGGTATCGCCCGCGACGACAACACCAAGTTCTCCGCAAACGGCCAGCCAAACATGGAAGACGCCCAAGCTATCTCCGACCATTTCCTCAAGTCGCAGCCCGAGAACTGGGCCGACACCATGAAGACCAACGTCGGAAGCATCTTCTGGATGTCGATGTACTTCCTGCCTCTATTGGCTAAGGGCGGCAAGGTCACTCCTGGATACAGCTCGCAAGTCATCAACGTTAGCAGTATCTCAGGATACATGAAGGGAAGCAGCAGCGGCCAGTTCTCATACGCGTCGAGCAAGGCGGCTGCTACACACTTGAGCCGTATGTTGGCTACGACGTTTGCGGGAACCAAGGTCCGCGTCAACACCATTGCGCCTGGTGTTTTCCCAAGTGAGGTATGTAACTCCGAAGTTCAAAATGTAATATCCGTGAAGGTCGAGCTAACACGATGTAGATGACCACTGGCACTTCCGACGAAGATAACAAGAGTCGCATCGAGTCCGGCATGAGCAACCCCGCTGGTCGCCCTGGTGCTGACACCGACATGGCTGCGACAGTACTATTGCTGGCTGGTCCAGGTGGTGTATTCTTCAACGAGCAGGTCTTGTACCCCGATGGCGGAAGCACTCTCACACAGCCCGCAGCGAGGGCTTAGTCGTGCATTCGTGAGCAGCCTCACGGGTAAGAATCGATAGACCAGATGCGATATATCGAATGTAAATACAACGATCATGCATAGCCTTGTTCTGTGTCGCGTCATCTTCGTGATCCCTTTCAAACCAAACGCGTCTTTTCGCAGGTTTGCCGTGCCCCACCCCGCCGAAGCCTTCCGAAACCCCACCACAAGCGCAAACTCTTTCACGCTACACTGCGACCACCCACCCCAGCAAGCAGACAATTGTCGCAAATACTGACCGACGGCAACAACAATCAGAACCAAGTACTAGTACGATGCTTTTTCCCACATCTCCATCAATCAATAGATTGGCCTAATGGCCCAATGGCAAGGCGCTTGACTACGACTCAGTTCGATATCAAGAGATTCCAGGTTGTAAGTATTCACTCCACCCGGCTCACAAGAGTCGTCCATTCGAAATACCGCCGCTGACGCCCAAGAAAGCGACCCCTGGTTAGGTCACAACACATCTTTTTTGCTCTTTTCTTTGTCGTTGGTGTGGCAGAAATTGAGGTCTGAGCATCTTGGGGGATTTTCAGATTTATTAATTTTTAATTTTGCTACTAACTAATTAACGTAGCTTTGTAATAAGTAGTAAGCAACGCTGAATTAGACAACAGGTTAGTAGTAGGCTATACTTATGTAAAGCCTGTTCTCTTCTCTAGTGAAGTGGCTAATGTTGCGCGAACTACCCGTTCTATTCATCACACTAACAAACATACAACACAAACCACTCTTACGTCTTTGTTGCAACACGGGAGTTTAATCATTGTTTTTGTCTACTGCAACATTAATTAAAGTTATATCCTTTTAGCAGAGATCTGAACTCTGGCATCTTGATAGTTATATGACTAGCGGTTAGCTCGACTTCTGACATCGTTCATATCCAGCGATGCTGGGGTTGCGAAAAGGCGTGCGAGAAGTCTGGTAGTGCGATTGAGAGTAACATGAGTGAATGGTTCGTTACGTAGCAATGGTTGCAACGATTTTAATGCATCTTGCCAATTCATTCTTGCTCGCCAAAAAGAGGTGCATCTTCACTGGTGGAAGCCGTGGAAGCTGTGACATGAAGGTATGTTCACTGTACATTCATCGAAGAGTCATGTCGTACTTCACACAATGCTCCTACTTAACTGTACCACTACATCCCATTTCTCCCGAAAGTCTTGGTACTAAACTCGCTCTTACCACAGGATCTACTCGAATTCCACTGAATCATCACTCGACGGTCCTACGATCCATAATGACGACATCTAACCCAACCCCAATCACACGCGGCAGCATGCAACCCACCCCACTACCCTGGCTAACAGCCCTGCTCAGACCGCGTGTCAAAGACTTCATAGACGTTAACACGCATATCCTGCGGCCTATATCTATGGCCGCACAGGACGCTACGTATACTCGACTCACCGACACCGGCGAACTTGACCTTCAAGCCCGCGCCGACGCAAAGCAATCCTTTATCCATGATGTACACTACGGCACTTCTCCTCGCGGAATAAGACGCCAGCTACTTGAAATTCCGTTTGACGACTTCTTCGATCTGTGCGTACGCGAACTGGCCAAGGTGGAAAATGGTCCTGTAGATAAAAAGAAGCATCGAAACGACCGCCTCTGGTTTCTTTTCAGCTGTGCAACGCATCCCGAGGCGGACACCGATGGGACGTTGGGGCCTGAGCTGTGGAAGTACTACGAGTGGACGACTTGGTGGCCCAAATACGAGCTATCAGCAGTCTATCGCAGCTCCACGTTTGAATTGCAGCAGAAGGCAATCGAAGACGAAGAAGACCCCTTCATGTGGCCCGGTCTGACATGGTTTCTCGAGGACGAAATACGCATCCAAGATGGATACGCCGCGGAGAATATCGAGCATGTCATCAAGCACTTTCTCTGGCTCTTACTGAACACCATCGACGTTCACCTCGTCGATCATCGACTGGGCCTTAGTGATCGATATCCCGACGAAGAGGTCGCGGATGTGCTGCGTGAAGGGTATGACGTGCTAAATCGGTCCTCGAAGCTAGTGCTGCGAAATCCCTTTTCAGACATCCCCAAGCCTGTGCGTGAGGCCTTGGCGACCGTCAATACCATGGGTAACATCGAGTACGTCGGGCAATGCCCACTACATGCCCTCTACCATGCTGTACCACCGGAGCTTTTACATGCAACCGCGTACATTGCCTTCCTCCATTGGGCCTTGGCCGAGGTCGATCATTTGAAAGCAGATCCAGATGGCACCATACGTGCAAATCTGCTGAAGCTGCACATGGTAGGTGCACCAGAGGGGACTAGAAGCGATTGTAGACATTCCTGGACACGCCCTGCAGCTATGGGCGACGTAGTTACCGAAGAGCTTGAAGCCTACGTTAATCGCACTCTCGACGATGGCCCTGGTGTGGACGTCCCGATAGTGCCGACCGGACCACGCATTGATCCCGACGGGTTGTGCGATGTGGTGAGCACGCCAGAAGCGACCGAGCACTGCCCGATTTGCCTTGAAGACTACACGGACGTTGACAACGTGTGCGTGCAGCTAAAGGCCTGTGCGCATGCATTTCATCGCGGGTGCTTGGATGAGGTGGTGAACGGGGTGTATCCCGGTGTTCCTGAGATCAGATGTCCGGCATGTAGGACAAGTATATGTAAGGCCCGCGACTATACCGCAGTGCTGGACAACGAGGTTCGAGATGAAGCTTCACAGCTGACAGAGGGTGGAGATTGTGGAATCCCTTGAGTAGGACGTCGCATGTAGACGCTGGTGTTGACAAGTATTTTGTGCATCATATGCTATCGCAAGCTAGAGTATTAATGTAAGAATGATGAGGCGACTCCGTCAAGTGAAGGTCCATGCAGGCGAAGTGTTGAGTAAACGGATGGCACGGCGGGGTCGGCTTGGCGTCATGTGACTGGGTGCAATAGTATTTTTGCGGGTTAGCGCAATGACACGGCAGCAAGGGCATGATCGCCGCAGGGCAGCAACGCCGAAATCTGGAGCGAGGTGAACTGATAGTAACACGACCGTCAAACTCTCGGCGAGCACACACCCAACGAGTGCTCAAGATGAAGAAGCTCGTCAACAACTCTAAATCACGATGACGCCATGTTGAAGATCTCGGCGAGGGCGTGCAGCCGCCAGCTAGCGGACCGAGACGCTTCAGTCATCATAGCTAGAGACGCAGCGGCCAGACCAATAGCTGCACTAGCTCACCAGATAGCAACGAAAGGCAAAAGTAATCACCTTTTGCGCAAAGCACTGCTCCAGCGTCTGTTCAATGCGGCGGTCGTGTGTTTTGTCGACTTCCGCCACTCGTCTTTGCGCCGGATGAAATGGCCTCGAACGGGCAACTACTCGCGCATCGCAACTACTACGGGACGACCGGCTATGGCTCACCACCACCATTCGATACCTCACGGCCCAAGCTGAAGCCCGCAGAGCGAGAGCTAGCAGACTTCACGCTCCTCGAAGCCCTCGACCGCGACGACCGCCCTACCTTCGCCGTCGAAACACGCTCGTCCCTAGGCCACGATGAAGCCCACACTATAGAACTCGTGTATGCGAACACGGCGCTTCACACCGTTGGCGGGCTTATGACCAAGATCACAGGCGACGAGTCGACTAGCTTGTTCGCGCAGAGCTCGGGACCGCAACTTGCCTTCCGGAATTGGATTCGTGGGCAAGGCATTGAGGAGGACCTACAACAACACGGCAATGCATACACATTCGAAGGGCACGTATGGAATGCGACAAGTGTGGGGCGCTACAAGATTGTCAGCGGAGTGCCAACGCGACTGCTGTGGGTCGACGCCGCCCCAGGAGGAAAGAGCCACCGCACACTCCGACGCGAGCGGAAAACGCCTTGGCCTGGGAGCAAGCATCGCGCGGATGCACTACCCATCAAGCCCCAGCTGTCGCTTGCTCAGATACCACAAACGCCCGAGCCCGGAACCAGCTCTTCTGGAAACCAAGGCGCAGTACCGCACACGTCCTTCGACTGTACTTCTGATGTACTCACCTCAACCAGCCCGCACATCGAGTACTTCCGCAGTGTGGATTGGGCAAGTACACCCCTGGGTCCAATGAGTTCATGGCCTAGTGATCTGCGTTGCGTAGCGAATACAGTACTCAGTAACAATGTGCCAGCCGTCATGTTCTGGGGCGACGATGTCATCATGTTATACAACGAGCCATACGTCCAACTCCTTGGCAGCCTCCATCCATGCATGGGCGAAAGTGTCCGCGTCAAGGCGCCTGATCACTGGGTCTCGTTTCAGCCTCTGGTAGACTACATCAAATCAACAGGCGAGTCAATAGCCGAACCTGACATGCTCCTCTTCATCGAGAGAGACAAGATCCTTGAAGAGACACACTGGTCCTTTCAATTCGTCCCGATACTGGACACGGACGGCCAGGTGGCAGCCTACTACCAGTCCTTCTACGAAGTTTCCAACCACCGTATCCTCGAGCGCCGCGTCTCTAGTCTGGTCGCAATGGGAACCCAGAGTGCGAATGCCAGAGATTTTCCGTCATTTTGGGAGACTACATTGCGCTCACTGAGCTTGAACGATAAAGATGTGCCATTTGCTTTGTTATATGCTGCCGAGCGGCATGTTAGCGCTCAAATACCTTCAGTATCATCACCCGGTAGCATTCCTCCGTTGGAAGGTTGCGTTCTCAAGGGTACCATTGGCGTTTCAGCTGACCATTCCATCGCCCCCGCGACCATCCATATCAACGAAGACTCTTACATCCTCCAGCCGTTCCTCAGTCGTGCCGCCAAGTCCGGGAAAGCGACCGTTGTTCACGTCGAGGACCTTCCCGATCCAACAAGGGCCTTGCAAGGCATCGACTGGAAAGGATATGGTGACCCTTGTCGCACCCTGGTCATCTGTCCAATAATACCCACCACTGGAAACCAGGTAGAAGGTTTTCTCATAATTGGCATAAATCCGCGCCGCCCCTTCGACGAAGAGTACCAGCAATACCTACATGTCATGGTGCGGTTATTGGCTACGTCTCTTGCTTCCATCGTTCTTTTTGAAGATGAAGTCCGACAAAGAGAAAACGCCATCATCCAGGCTGCTCAGATCCAAGAACATCTGATGGCGGAGATACAACTCAAAGAGAGCAAGTTTCAGCGCTTCGCGGAACGATCCGACGTAGGCATATTTATCATTGATCCGGCAGGAACTTACACTTACCGTAATCAACGATGGCATGATATATTTGAGATCGCATCCTCTGATGACAACGCCACCGTGGCATGGCATAAAATCGCGTTCGAAGAGGACATCGCTTACTGCCAATCAATGTTCGCAAAACTAATCATGAATCACGAATCAGTTATCTTTGAGCTGCGTACGCGGATGCCCTGGACGCCGCCGTCAGAGTCAGATGAGCCGCAGACTGAGGATACCCAGCACTTTAAGTGGATTTTGTGTTCAGCCTTCCCAGAGTTGGGTCCGAATGGCGATCTTGTCGAGGTCGTTGGGAATGTCACAGATATATCCAGTAAGCAACTCTATGTACGATGACCCGTGATACATGCACTGACCACCCGCGCCCGATGTAGAGCAGAAGTGGGCGGAAGGCATTCAAAAGATACGCATGGACAGCGCACTGCAAGGCAAACAACACCTAGAACACTTTCTGGACACGACGAGTCATGAGATGCGAAACCCTCTCAGCGCCATCATGCAATGCGCGGATTCTATCACGTCTTCCTATCCCCAAGAAGATTACCAAGAGCGCCACAACACCACACCAAACGAGTGGACAGCCTTCATCGAGTCTACCCTTGACGCTGCCCAGACAATAGGAGTTTGCGCATCACACATGAAGCACATAGTCGACGATATTCTCACCATCTCCAAACTCGATTCGGGTCTCTTGGATATGACACCGGTCATTGCGCAACCCGAGAGTGTAAGACCTTTAATCTGATGACACGTATGTTACATAGACTAACTTCATAATCTGATAGGTGGTTATGCACGCAGTGAAAATGTTCGACGCAGAAGCAAGAGCAGCAGGTATCAACCTCGTGTTGAACGTGGATCAATCCTATCGCAACATGGAGATCGACTGGGCATCTCTGGATCCAACAAGAGTGTTGCAGATTCTGATCAATCTTCTCACCAATGCCATCAAGTTCACGCGCTTGGAGTCTACCAAGCGTGTAACAGTGACTCTGGCCGCCAGTAGCACTGAACCCGTCTCGACGCTACATGGAATACAGTATAACGAGGAGAGGCTAGTAGGACAAGATCCCCACTTGGAAGAAGATTGGAAGAAAGCTCAAGAGTTATTCTACATTCAATTTGCCGTCACTGATACGGGCCGTGGACTTTCCGACGAAGAAAAGTGCAATCTCTTCACCCGCTTTTCACAAGCCTCACCTCGGACGCACATACACTACGGTGGCTCTGGCCTTGGGTTATTCATATCTAGACGTCTCACCGAACTACAAGGCGGATCAATCGGCGTCGCGAGTGAGTCTGGAAGAGGCAGTACGTTTGCCTTCTACATCAAATCACGGCGGGCGAGACCTATTGTAGCCCGAAAAGGCAGTCTTCCGCATGTTTTCCCAGAAGAGATCAAGCACAGACGCCCGATACCGCTTGTAAGCCTAACGCGTCCGTCTCCTCCCGTGCGCATATCCACAGGCGAGCAAGGTCAAAGATCAGACTCTGCCAGTCCAAAAGCCCGCCGCCCGTCGGTGCAATCGAAATCCTCGCAGACTGAACACTCTCACGTTCGGCCGGAAGCGCTAGGACTACCAGAAGGCCCCGATCTGCAAGAATTGAAGCGCACAAAGAGTATACCAGATACGCTGCATGTTCTTGTAGTGGAAGACAATCTCATCAACCAGCGCGTTCTCGCCAAACAGCTGCGCAATTTGGGATGTGTTGTGAGCGTTGCCAACCATGGTCAAGAAGCCCTTGACTTCCTACCAAAGACCAGTTTGTGGAAACACGATCAAGCTACTGGCGACGCGATCGCGCGAGAGGACCTCCATGATGGCGAACTGCCCATCGAACTCAGCCTCATCCTCATGGACTGGGAGATGCCAATTATGAACGGACTTACGGCCGTTGCCGAGATACGGAAGCTCGAGCAACAGGGCTTGTTGAAGGAGCGGGTGCCAATCATCGGGGTCACGGCCAACGTGCGCCAACAGCAGATCGAGCAAGCTATGGCTGCGGGAATGGACGATGTTGTTGGTAAGCCTTTTAGGGTTGCAGAGTTGCTCGTGCGGATGAGAGGGATAGTTGCTGGCATGGAGCCCGAGGGACCAAATAGTGCGACCTTAACTGAGGGGTATGCGAGCTTTGGATGATGGAAAAGTCATTGGATCACGATTTACAAGGATTAATACCATTTCATGGGTGCAAGCTCAGTATCCGAACAACTGGGAGACCTCGCAACATCTTGCCTTGTTCAGTGTCGATCGCTGGCCAAGTGCTACAAAGTAAGCGCTCAAGGCTAATCTGAGCAACATCTCCAAAGCTCTGACCACTTGTTCTTCAATAACCCTACACGTTCAAGGTTGACTGCATTAGCGCACTAATCGCTTATCACAGGTTGTATATTGACTTGCAGGCCTGAGAACGATTACGCGAACGGCCAGCTGTGTAACTACCCCTCATGATGCTGACACTGGACTGACGAGTTCTTGAGCTGATTGCATTCCGCATTCTTTCTACTAAGACCATCGTCCTCAACCATGGCGCTATTCCAAGATCTTGACCTTTGGAACTTCCTAGTTGTCTTCTTCGTTTATATCCCCATTCTTTACAGCATAGGCTGGCTCACATGTGCGCGAACGCTTCACCCGCTTGCGAAAGTACCAGGTCCTATCTGGCCTGCGATATCCCGCACATGGCTCATGTATCGCATGTATCAGGGGGATTTGGAGATGCATATGCGCGCAATGCATAAAAGGTTCGGATTTCCCGTTCTCGATCAATGGGTGAGAGCTGACGTGTTATAGTTAGTGTTCCCATCGATACGAGTTGAAGGATGTTCTCCAAAGAGACACTGGTATCGGAACAACATCAAGTTCTGGGCCCTTAAGAAAACATGCTAATAGCGTCTTACGTGCTAGAACACGGCCCAATCGTGCGCACAGCACCGGACGAAGTGCACGTCAGCGACCCAAGTGCTATCCCTACCATATATCCTACGCAGCAGCCACTTGAAAAGACCGATTGGTACCTCACATATAGAGCGGTGAACCTTGGGCTCAGCCCCGATTTATTCACAGATGACAATGAGAAACACCATGCAGCTCACCGACGGACCGTCGGCTCAGTGTACACACTGAGCAGCATATTGAAGAACGAGCGGGCCTTGGACGAATTGATGACATTGTTCGGGAAAAGGCTCGGTGGATTTGCAGATCGTGAAGAAGACGTTGACTTTGGCTTATGGCTGGAAATGTGAGTGCGCCAGGTCACATGTCCTCCTCGGTTGCAACAACATACTGACCCACACGTACAGGTTCTCCTTCGACAGCGTAGGCGCCGTATTCTTCGGCCAGCCCTTCGGCTTCCTGGAAACGAGTTTAGACTATGGAAATTACATCGCCGCCGTACATACCGCCATGCCGATGAGCTCCGTCATCGCGATGGCGCCTCTGTGGTGCCGCGGGTACCTCCTCCAGATGGGCGTCATGATCCCCAAAGTCTTCAAAGCTATCATGGCTGTAGATGGTATCGGGCAGACTGCTGTTCGGGAAACAGGTGTTGCGCAGGAGAAAAGGGCAGAAGCGAATGCGCATTGTACGGATGTTCTGTCGCAGTTATTAGGGATTATGCGGGAGAAGGCAGACAGTCTGTCGATCGAGAAGATTCATGTTGAGATGTGGGCGGCCGTGTAAGCACCAGCCGTGGACACCAAGAACCTTTTTTTGCTAATACATGGTAGTATCGCCGGCTCGGACAGTACCTCCGGTGCTCTCCGCGCAATCTTCTACTTCCTCATGAAACATCCCTCAAAGATGGAAAGACTAACCCAGGAGATCGACGATGCGTTTCAGAACAGCACGCTCACCAGTCCCGTACAGTACAGTCAAGCTACCAAGCTATCCTACCTCATGGCCGTCATCCAAGAGTCGCTAAGACTTTTCCCGCCGTTTGGCGTGCCTATGCCGCGGTACGTGCCGAACGGTGGTCTGCATCTCTTCAGTCATCACATCCCTGCAGGCTTCAAGATCGGTATGAATGCCATGGTCACGCAATTCGACGAATCGGTCTTTGGCGAAGACGCGTGTGAGTTCCGTCCGGAGCGATGGCTCGTCAGCGACGCACAGTACAGAGCCATGCAGAAAGCTATGCTGGTGTTTGGCGCGGGGACTAGAACTTGCATTGGGAAGCATGTAAGTTGCCGACAACTGGGGTAAAGTTTGTTGTCGCGTTTACTGATGATGGTGCTGTACACAGCTTTCGAATGCGGAGATGTATAAGGTGGTGCCGGAGATACTGAGGAGGTTTACGGTGGAGATGGCGCATGATGGGCCTTGGAAGACGCATAATGCGACGTTTGTGCTTCAGAGTGATGTGATTTGTAGGATTAGGCGTAGGCCGTTTTGAAGAGCTGATATGCACGGGAACGTCAATTTTGGCGTCAGTTGTAGATGGCATGTTTTCACAACGCGTCACGCGTGCGCACGTGCGCAGTCTTGAGGCTAGTCTTGATTCGGCGATGCCGCGTCTACCCGGGGAATAACTTATCCCGCCTTCAGTTATGTACAGTCTCATTGCCTTCTATGTAAATGAATATTGATCCAGGTTCGCATTCGACGCGCGCTCAATGGACAAATCTACCCTGTAATGCATACTGCAGATGACTTTGTAGCACGACGCGCGACCGCTATGTAATGAAGTCTGGGGCGGGGCTAGCGCTATCGCGTGGATTCCTGCCGCCTGTTCTGATCAGCTTCTCCTTCGCCCACCTCATACAGGACAGAGACCAAATACCTTGAAGCCAACGTTGACGCTGGGTCACCTACTTTGCATGTTTTCATCTTGATGTACCTAGGTAGGCTCCAGTGTCTACTCAATACGACGCCGCTCTCTCGCATCACAGATCTCCGCTCTACACAGCGGACAGCGATTGCTATTCTTCTCGACGCCGTTGACCATATCTTCCAAGCACTGCGCATGAAACGCATGGCCGCATCCGACCTTCCAAGCCACCGTATCTGCGCTGCGGACGTCAAAGCGCTCCAAATCGACTGGACAGATGGCTTCAGTCCCAAGCTGGACAGGCGTAGCCACGCTCTTGGTCAGGATACGAGGTCCTGTCGCTTCGAACTCTACGTCTTCCAATGAAGCAGGCTCAAACTCAGCAGGGTCCTCCTCTTGCCATGCTTGTATAATGCGATCAGGAACACGTAAATTTGCGGTCTGAAACGGGATGTAGTTTCTCTGTTCGACGCTTCCCACGCCAAGACTGAGGTCATCGAACAGGGTTGTGGTTCGAGGCACATCCTTGAAGACGCTTTCTACACATCGCACAAGCCACTTGTACATGTGCCAGTTGAGAAGCTCTGTCTCTGTACTTTGAAGGATTTCCTTCGCTCGCAAAACAACAAAGTCGTGGATAGTACGATGATTTATATTAGCGCAGTGGATGCGCGCATCCAACGGCATGTAATTCCCTGGATCGCCAAACATACGCGACAGCTGATCGACGCGATACTCTGCAAAAGCCTCCACCAACGCTGGACTGGGTGCGTAATCTGTTTTCTCGAAAAGGTCGCAAATGTATGCGATGTGGTGGACTAAGAGATTAAGGACAGACTCAGCCGTCTTGAGGTGTCCAGTGGCCGGTGCAGGGATCAACAGTAAGTCGCCCAAATATGGAAAGTCCTCTGGATGCGATCGCTGTTGCACAAAGTTGTCAATATCGCTCGGCCGGTCGAAGTAATGGGGTTGTTCCTCTATCAACTGGGTCAGGAAAGCAGCGTATTGCCCGTCGTAGCCTAATTGCAGCATCCTCAACCACAGCTGAGTGTAGGCATCGACGCGTACATCCATGAACACTGCGTTTTGCTCTCTGTCCATCTGCTCTCTGTCCATCTGCTCTCTGTCCATCTGCTCTCTGTCCATGTAGTCGATCAGCTCCTCACGCCGCTCCATTAGCTCCTGCCACGCTTGTCCGAAATCTCCAGAGGGCGTGGAAGCGAGCGCCCCTAGATTCGCCGTCCATAGGTTCAGAGCCAGGGCCCGTTTCCTTGGGTAAGCGAGTGCGTATAATAACATGGTGTCGTATGCGGCGACGACTTTACTGCGAGCTTCATGTGTGTCCTCCGCTGCAGCGAGGAGAGTGTGCAGGTACGTTAAGGGGGTGGGCAGCTGGTGTTCTGGTTCTAGTAGACTGTCCATGATAATAGTAGAGTGAGTTGAAGACACGTGTACTTGTAGATCGGTACTGCAACTTCCTGTATGTCTACTGGTAGTGGAAATATCGGCCAGCTCACAACGCCTTTGTAAAAACTTACGATTTCACAAACACAAATTCCAGCAATGAATGGAATGTACGAAGCGTTGACAATAGTTGCGACCTGAAGTAACGAGAATCATCGCACTACTTCAGTACTTTGTGGTGAAGAGCCCGTGTGCTAATTGCTAGAAAGAAAGTGAAGTGTTTAACGAATTGCTATGGTAATAGTATAGTCGAATCGAAGGTCATTCACAAGCAACAGGTCAAGAATGAATTGTATGAAGATCGTTTTATTAATGTCTAGGGTGCTCTGTAAAGGAGAGGTGTCAAAATTTGGGATATCGCTAATTATTACAAGTTTTTCTCGTTCCAACCAAGAGCTATCTAACTAGAGTGGCTGCACGTGGGGTTGGTGGGAGCATTCTTTCCACCAAAGTACACCTTGTTGTAGACGTTGTCGCCAGTCCAAGCATCGGACGGGACCTTCGGGGGGTTGACAGGGCCACCCTCCTGTTGAGAATGAGGGAACAGTCCGAAGTTGGGTGAGACGACGTTGTCGGGGCATCCGAGCGCGGTCTTGCTGAGAATGGGGTCGAGGACTGAAAGAGCCCACGAGACACCCTTGGCGACATTCTCCTCGGTACCGCCAAGCGCAAGCGGAGTGATAGAGTTGAGACCTTGGTAGACATCGCAGAGCAGGGTCTGGACAGTCAACTTGCCAGTACCGACCTGAGCAACGCCAGGAACGATGATGTTGCGGGGGTAGATCTGGAGGAAGCCGTCGGAGAGGGCCTGAACCGCGCCGTACTGGGTGTCACGACGGTACCAGTTCTCGGGCCAGCGCTCGGGAACGTACTTGAACTCCTGGGTCTTCTCATCATACTCGGCACCGATGATGCTCATGATGCTCTTGTAGTTGGGCACACCACCGGCACCGTAGGTACCGTTGGAGAAGAACTGGGGGTAGAAGGAGAAGGCGGCGACAGAGACGATTTGGGGGAAGGGGAAGTAGTAGAGGAAGGGGTTGTTGTCCTTGGAGAAGCCGGCCGACTTAGCGTAGTGCTTGGCCATGACATCCATGGAGAACTCCTTCTTGGGGTCTTGGGCAGCATACCCGACCATCTGCTTCACCAGACGGGAAGAGAGATGATGGTTGTCACCGCATCCCATGTAGTAATCTGTCTCAATGTTAGTGTTCAGGTTCCGCCTTGAGAAGTCAGCAAACATACCTTCACGGTTGGGTGAAACATCAGCTTCGACAACAGAGTGCCTGTTGAGACCACCGATTCCGTTCTTTCCCGAGCCGAGATAGAAGGACAAGCCATCCAAATCTCCACTGCCCAAGACAGCGAACGTGGCTAGAACTGTGGCAAGTTCTACACCCATGTTGAATCCACGCCCAGTGGCCTCCAAAACCTGTCCGTAGGTGACGTAGCCATCACGGGGGAGATAACCATGATTGGCGAGCAAGTTCAGACCTGGGCATGGGCCACGAGAGTCGTTGGGACCAGGTGCCTTGAACTCGTAGCCAGGCTCAGGACGCAGGTTGCTTTTCTTGACGATGGCCTGACCGACTGAGGACAGAAGCCCATCAACAACGCCGCCAAGCGAGCCCAACAGGTTTCCGACTGGGTTGAGCAGCTGGGGTTCAGCGGCGCGGTTCGCAAGTTGTTCACGCTTGATCTCCCCACGGAGGAACTCCTCCATCTCTGGGCGGGAGTTCGCGCCCATCATGCCGGGGTAGGCGGCAGCGAGGGCTGGCAACGCCAGAGTGACTGATTGAGTGAACCTCATGATGTTGGTAGTACAAGATTGTCGGTATGAGGAGAGGAGGGGAGGTGGAGCAAGTGATGGCTCTGGCTGAAGAACTGATGTGGAACACACGGTGAAGAGGATTTATACACTTCTACTCCGCGCAGCTGCTTCTAACCCTCTCCACCGCTCCGGTAAAGCCTGCATGGATGGTATCTGTTGGCACCGTCCACGTTGAGTATGATCTTCATCAACAGTCGCCGAAGAAGTGTGTTGCGCTTCCATTTTCGTACGGTTGTCATCATGATCGCCAACTAGAACTGGGGGAGACTTAGTCAAAACGCCATGCCGCTACAGATCCACACAAGGATAAGGTAGAGCGCAGCAACCCAATCAGATGTTTCCGGATTATCCATTACCTACCTGAGTCGTGGTGCTCCGCGGCCAAGCACTTGAAAGCGAGTCATATTCATGGCATTTTGGTATTCGGCACAGCTCGAGTGACCCACTTGTATCCACACAGGGCGCCAGCAATTCACTTGGATCGAAGGCCAACTCCCCAGGATTAAGGTAGTGATCGCGATGATAAAGGAGGCGTTATCGATTGCTCTTAGCAGCTAACATTCACTTGGTTCGATCAAGCCACAATGGTGAGCGCGGTCTCCTGTCATCGAAGAAGTGTGGATGGGTGGAGCTGTCGAACGGTGTCAGTCGCAATTTCTGAACCATTGCAATGAATGTGAGAACGAATGCGATAGAGTTCTCGAAGCAGACTCCTGTGGCCTACACATCTCCCGTACATAGAGCAGGGGTTAGGTGACGGTAATAGATACATCATATCTTGGTGCACTATGCAGTAGCTTGCAGAATCGGCAGGTAGAATAGCGCCGGCTCTCTTATTTGGCGGAGAATTTGTACTCACCCTCGCCGAACGCTGGTAGTACACAGGGGCTCGCGGGATGCCTATGCGGCCCCATCGGGATCAGAACAGGCGGCCAATTAGCCTAATGCTATCTGTACAGGGCGTCCGCTGTGAACTTGCAGAGTCCACAGTGTGCTGGCGATATGACCGACGTCAGGATGCTGCAGGAAATATTGGCACACTCGCCAATGTGCCATGATGTGCCGTGATGGCAACCAGGATCGGATCGGAAATCCGTAGTTTGCTAGTGCTCGATACATGGAGATACGGTTCGGTTAGATTCACAGCGTCGATCCGGCTGATTGAGATCGGCGGCTCTGCGTTTCGCGTTGCGATCGAATTTTGGGAAGGAAATGATGCGAAAGTTGAAATCCCGCGTTCTCGCTCGATGGCGTTAGGTGGTCTGGCGTTTCGCTTGCCTGGTGGCAGAAGGGGAAAGGTCTTCACTGGCGACGTCACTGTGCTATCGCGGAGCCCCGTACCGACGACGATCATCGACGCTAGCGCCAACCTTAACCCCAAAACGCGACAACGTGGCGCTTTCGCTCGCGATGGCGCAGTGACATGGGACGAAGCCACTGCGCAAAAGAAATGTTGAGCTCGATACATGCCTGCCAGCACCAATCGCAATCTTTTCACCTCCCGAGGTACCAATCACGACTCTCACGTTGGTCATGACAAGGACAAGAGTCTAGGCGGTAGGTTGAGCTAAGGGAGCTGACTCTGATGCACGCATTACAGACCGCTTGCGCAAAGACATTTTGGCAATCATTGAGCGCGTCACGTTTTCGCGCTGTACACCTGGGGATCTACCGAGCCTAGGTGCCCCTGGCAATCTAACATCAGGAGCTTTTCACGGGGAGTTTCAAAGTCCCTTGAAATCCCCGGTTCCAGCGACGACCCCAGCTTGCGGAAGGTTTTGCTTTTTGGTGGGAGCCGGCACAAAATACTTCCACTGTTCCGTTCGAAATGCATCTGTGCTTCCGCCTACCGCTGAGGGGACCACGTCATCTTCCTGACTTCGCAAACTTTTTGGACCTCATTACCTTCAAACAACACCATCGATGAGTTCGGGCAAAAGTACAGGGCCAACGCAGAGAGCTTGGGGAGGTAATGAAGACGACATACTAGTCTCAAGGTCACTGAGAGTTGTCCGGTCCGTAGTCGTACCCACTCAGTCCAGGCGCGCTTGTCGACATGGACTCGATTCTGGGATTTGCGATCCTTAACATCTCACACAGCCTGCTGGTCTCTACAAGGTATCTTGTTGACAAAGTTGTGAGCGGCTTTCGCCGATGGCTTGTCAAGTAACAATAGATGCAGCGGACGACTGACCTAAGCATGGCTTCCGGCGACATCACGCAAAACACCAGAAGCTGTGCGAAGTTAGTCTGGCTCATTAATCTCTCGCCTGTTTGTTTCCTTCTAGCATCCTCCCAGGCGTCGACGTCCACTTAACTATCCTTGCGATTCCATCTCTTAGTTGCTATCTACTTTATCCTATAGTACTGCGATAACGCAGAGCGAAACGAGCTACTTACAGCTTCTACGATATTAACTACCTAGATAAAAAGATACTCTCACGAATAAGAGAGATAGCAGGTACAATATACTGTTGCCCCGCCTGTTCATAACGCGCGGTTCTGTTGACAGTCAGCAGTCCTCGAGGAATCTACGCTCATTCGTTAAAGCATCAAGCTATCCAGGTCATTGGGGTTGCAGAAGACATGAAAGGCTCCTTCTGCTATGCGACAACCGCTGTGCCGATGTTTGCTGCGAAGCAGATTAGTTTTTTGTCGATTCAGATGTACTTGATCTCTTCAACTTCGTGGCTCAGTACAACAAGCACAACAACGGTACCTGGAAGTCCATAGCATTGTGAGCTTGGCTACCTCTCGGACAATGTGCTTGACAATTCGATCTACAATGTCATTTCAATGACTACAAATGCTCCATACCTCATGAGACCATGTCATTCACTCCGACGCAAGCGATACCAAAAGACGAATCCACGACCATGGCGACGAGGACGCCTCCATCCCCTTTACCTATCCTGGTCAACATCCTACAATCTCACACAAGGACCCCAGAAGAAGGTTACGAAGTCCTGCAAGCCTACCAAATGTTCGTTGACTACGCCTCACAATGCCGCACTGATGATGCCTTTGTAGCTCTCCTCGACGCCACTGGCATACCTGAAGAATGGCACGACCTCCGTAGCTGGCTCCATACGCAACATCCTGATACCAACACTCTTGAAAGATTCCCCTCCCACTACGACGTCGCCACCGAACTCATCCGCAACCTACCCGAACACGACCGTCTAACGCTAGTGACAACCTCTAAGAGCTATTGTTATCACGTTGGCGAGCAGACAGGTTTTACGCTGAGAACTCTCATTCGACACGGAGGCTTCAAAGAGCTATTGAAATACATCATAAAACTGCAGCCACGATGTGCAGTGCAGACCAAGGAAAAAGAAAAAGAAATAGAGATAGCCATACACCGAGATCGGGAAACACATTTCATCGAAGCGATACGCAAACAAACTGATACTGTAGACCCGGATAAGATTAAAAATACGCTGGCTGTGTTCTCGGAACTCTCAGTGCGTGCGGCTGCTTTCCTCCAAAAGAGTGACTTCACGGTTACGCAGGAAACTGTCCACGAATTTTCCATGGATTCAATCATGTACACCCGTTCTATCGTATCAGAGCCTTTCAGCATGGTTCCACTGGCCGAGAGGTGCGATTTGGCGCGCCTCGACGTAGCAGTATTGGCACGCGCACTGTTGCACCAAGCACTCGCCATCGCGAAGGCAACTCCTGTACGGCAGGAATTAGCCTGGCGTCTCCATCACTGGATGGCGCATTGCGTGAAGGATGCCTTCAGGCTTGAAGTCCATAGCCACTTCCGCTACTTCGATATTGGAAATGCAGTGACCGAAATGATGCGCAGTCCATTCCGATGGCAAGGTTTCTTCGCTGCTAATCCGACGCCGCTTGCTAATTTCGTTCCTCACGGTTGGGAAGACCAGGATGGGGACCATTTCTCATATGGTGAGCTGACTATCCCGCCGCTCGAGGAGGAGGAGGATGAGCCTTGGTCCATGGAGGACGTGGATAGGGAGCCGGATAGTCCGCGACGGAGTGCGCGCATCTGCTCTTCACCGGTACGTGTAGCAAGTGAGATTGAGCCAGACGCTGCTTGCACAATATGTGGCGACGCGCTCGCTGTAGTCGAAAGACCATGTCTGCAAATGCCTATGCGTGCGCATTGCAGTGGGGGACACATGTATCACTATGAATGCTTGACGATGTTGATCAACGGCATTGATGCGTACGCAAATAAGTGCCCTGTTTGCCGTCAAGAGATTTGTTCATTGCGACGCAGCAAGCCTATCATTGACGACGACGAGATGGACGAAGAGTTGGACGATGAGTTGGACGAGGAGATGGACGAAGAGGTGTACGAGGTGGACGAAGAAGTGAACGAGTGGGTGAACGAGCGGGTGAGCCAGTGGGTGAACGAGCGGACCGACGAGGAAATGAACGAGGACATGGACGAAGAGGTGAACGAGGACATGGACTGATCGTAGGAATAAAAGTATAAAACCACTTGACGCTATGTTACAATACATGCAATCCTATCTCTCGCCATCCCACCAAGTAGCAACTCCGTTGTGACGCATTCTCACAAATAACCCACATCCTTCTTTGACTGCATGCCATCCTTGAAGTTCCCCCAAAATGTCTTGTCGTTCTTCCTCCGCACAATCGCAACTATGATGCCTATGAGAAGCCATAGGCACAGTATTGTCACGCTGAGAAAGATGACAGTATACAAGATCGCCTTTTCTAGGACTGTGAAATCCTTGTCGTTTTTGTCGCCTTCGCGTTGGAGAAGGACTGAGAATGGGGATTTGTATCGAGTGGAAAGGGTGGCGGGGACGGGGCTGGCTTGTATCGCGAGGCATAGCGAAAACAGGAGCTAAAGGCTATTAGCAAGTATGAATTTACTACAGGGTTCTTTGGCTACTTACCAACGCGAAGATTGACTTTGTAAGTGGCATGGCTTCTGCTAAGGGCATGTCGCGGAGTGGTGAGTATAGTGAGAGCAAATGCAGCGAATGCTTAGCGAAAGAGAAGTAGATTTGATACGATGCAGAAGAATATATCATGCGAGGTAAGAAGGACGAACTCATCATGCCGAATTTATGTAGCGCAGCACCGTTCGTATGTGAAGTTTCCACGACACGACACATGCCAGCGCTACTTTCCCTAGAGATGTGAACGGGTTCAATAAGGCGACCAAAAATGTATTTTGAAGCATTTTCATGATCAAGGTGCGATACAACGGTCATGCGCTGTGACAGATACTCGAAGCTCGAGAGTTCCATGTACCCAACTTCAACACTAGATGCTCTGGGCAGATACTACTCCCCAGAGCCTGCGGGACAGTCGCACACACCTGGATCCTCTCAATGGGATAGCCCTGATTCCAAGAACTGGCTATGCATCCACTACGTCAGTATTGTCGATCTGCAGAAAATAAGAGTTGAGCGCGTGAAGCAAAAACTCTTCCAACGCACCCACCACACTCCAACAGCCCACAACTCTTACGTCAAGCCCAAAGCAACGTGGCAAGAAGAAAGACTCATCTACTCGATACCGGAGTAGGGCCGTCCGTTCTCACTTCGCCCGGTGAAATGTGTCATGAAAGAGGTCGCTGATGAGTCCGGGTGACCGCGATCGATGTCTTCCAGTCACGCATCTCTGCGGCCTTGCGGCACAGTAGAGCTCGCCCTCCCGCCCAGCGTTGTGTGGAAGGAACCGTCGGTCCCACTGCGGCACACGCTCAATGAGACACAAAGAGCGGCAGCGGCGGCCAGTTCGCATGAGGCACGGCGTGAGAAGGTTCGGAACGCAGCGTCTGACTGTCGCGGACGTTCCCGTAGAGGCACAGTTACGCCCGTGTGCCTGTGCCTGACATGCGATGACGGGATGGGACCTGAGGGCTGAGGCCAGATAGCTACGCCGCAGGTACAATCTGTCGGATCAGAAGTCTTGACGCACTTTGCCGCACCTATGTGACTGCGCCGCAGAGTCTCGAGCCGTAGTATGCGCGGGGTTAGGTGATGGGTCTCGCAGGTCTTCTTCTAACCGACGGCCATACTAGATGGTAGTACGGTGTTGGTTCTGAAACGTCTTTGCATCGCCTCATTGCTGCATAAGTGTATTGCTTGCGATGCATTAGCGGGCTTGTCGTTCAATACTCACACCATGTGATGGCCGTTACTGCGACCTTTGATAGCGATTACGCAGTGAGGTATGTTGTCTCACTCTGTAACACGGGTTCGCAACGCCTTCCAGAGACATAAGCGACTTCATCTCGGTTGATGTAATGTCTGGAAGGCCTAGTCCTCTGTATAGCCGTATATGCAGCCGGTGAACCGAATGATCAGTCTATACTATCATGTCTTGCCCCGCGGTATCCGCTCTTACAAGGTCGTATTGGGATTACGTTGACCTGCGGATTTCAACGACCACATCTGCGACCGCTGTTAGTGCATTTGAAAGTTTCAGTATGTCTTGTTGGCCGGCAGTTCGGTCGGAGGTACTTCTAAGCGCCGGCTTCCGACCGTAGGATTGGTCCTCGAGCATGTAGTCGTGTTGGTTCCAGTACTAATGAGTAGCCAGAGTGGCTGTCACAGCAGGCGATTTACCAAAACTCGCTTGCAAGTAGCTGTTCATTTATCGAAAAGAGGTAAGCTGCAGTAGTAAGGCGGCAATGTAGCAAGTGATAGCAGTAGAGAGTGCTTCGAGTAGCTCGCAAATCCAAAAAGGGTTAGTGAGCTGAGGCTGCGAGCAACAAAATGTGTAAATTGACAAGCACCCAAAGCATCGCCTCAGCCAATCCTTCTATTTCGAACTTTCTCATAGGGCTGAGTCATGTGGTTTGCCTGAGGCTCTTTCTCCTGGGTAGAAAACACGATGGGAAGATGGGAGACAGTGGTTGAGTGGTGGCTTGCTGGGCGGCGCTTACAGGTTGGGTGGGGGTGGGGGACTTGCTGAAGGCTTACTCATTCGTCCAATAGGGAGAAAGCGAAGATGTGCGATGTACAATCCCGTAGGTGCCGGTGTCGCAACATGAGAGGCACGTCGAAGAGAAGGCAGCAGATTCGGAGGGCATATGGATGCTCAGTATTCTGGGCATGGCGGAGCCAGGCACGTGTGGGAGCAGACCAGGCTGCGATGGCACATGGCTGCCTGCAAACCTTCTTCCGGCCGATGCATAACGCGATCGGGATTCAAAAGTTGATTGCTAGCGAAGACGATGCCGTCATTGCGACGAATGATGAAGAAGTCGCGATGATGTGCTGCTGGTGATGACAGTTTTGGCGAGGCAGACTTTGTCGGTTCAGCCTCATGGAGGATTAGCCGGGAGGCAGACATGTGGGTGGAGCTACTTTTAGGCACGGGAAGCAACGACGCTAGTCCTGTTTGGGCCTGTATCTGGACTGCCCCGCGCAAGATGGAAGGCAGAGGTACAGCCCTGCCACGGCGGTGAGGCTGTGATGGTTTGGCGCACGATGAGGTAGTGTAGATACAGGTGAAAGAGGAAGAGGATGCTGCCCAGATGCGGCTGTTGCATATCGCAATATTGACCGATGCATGCCATGTAAGCGACAGAGGGTGGGTGTAGTCGACGAAGGATCAGCTACCCAGCCGAATCAGATAGCTTTCGCGACAGGAGTGGGTCCAGCACGTGCCCGACTGTGATTGCATCCTTCGATCAAGCCATGCCCGTTGTGACGGACATAATCTGCAGCGTGAGGTGATCCTACTCGAATTATCCTGCCGTGTGATTCCTGCCTCTGCCTCCCGGCGACCTGTTTGCGGGGACGCCGACAGTCGAGTCTCCCTAAAGTGGCTGTTGTCTGGGTACGTCATTTCGGCGAGCGCGACACCAGCACCAGCTCTATCATGCCGATGATCTTGATCTGAGTGTGGCATCTCCATGTGTTCCGAAAGGGTAATCCATTCGCCGTAGATCTATCCAGATGGTAAGTACCGGCGGGCTGACTTCGGTGTTTCCACAACCTCAGGAAGGAGAGAACCAGTCCAGCCCGAGCAATCGCCTGAATCGCGCCATCAGCGGGTCGCGGCAAAGTGCTCTCGACCTCCATCCATGAATGTCTCATTGTGACCCACCCGCAATGCTCCACGCGATGCAGCCTCCCTGGACCTTGCTGCTTGGACAACAAACGCATGGTTGTGACGAAGCTAGGTCGGCTGCCCAGCACGTGCCTCTCATTTCTCAACATCCCGCACTAATCCCATCGCGCTTTGAACCTTTCCGGGCGGGCCAACGGTGATCACTGGCGCGCTCGTACGTTACAGAGCGCTGGATTGGTCATGTCTCAACGCACAGGTCTTCGTCGGACGAAATCGAGTGTCTAGCCCTACGGCTATTGAACTATCAAGCTTGTAGGCCGTCGCCTGTCAACAAACACCAGCGCCGCGGAGAGGGGCCACATCTGCAAGCTGCAAGTCAAGTCAAGTCATCTCGCTTGATCTTCTCTACACCCTAGACGCGCTCATCAGCCGACGCGACCCAAGCTGCAAGAGCTCGACGGCATCCAACCCAGACACGTGCCGAAGCGAGCAACGGCCCTGGAGGCCGCTGGATTGAGCTCCCTATTCATCAAAGATTACCGGCTATACTGCGTCTTACGCCCCCATTGAGCAAATAATGTCATTGTCCTCACACATTCGGTAAAGCTCTCACCGCTTGAGTTTCACATCGCTCTACATGCTCAAGGGACGAAGGTATAGCATGCGGGACGTTGCGGTTCATTTCCCACCATGCTAAGCTGAAGTGGTGCTATTAGGCGATCTCTGCCGGCTGGCAGCCTCGCGAAAAGATCATGGTGCCAGACCCGACCCGCGCACCCAACGCTTGAACCAAAACAGCAAATGCCATGGTACAGCTCAAACTAACTGACAAGGTTGTAGTTCATGGAGTCGCGAGAGCCGCTGATGGAGCATTGCATAGTCTATGGGCCGCGAGAGCACGTCGATTGCACCTGAAATACGCGCCGGCTACGAACTAACAGCTCTGGTCACCTCACCCTACTCCACGGGTCACGATTCGTCTGCCCTGGTCCAGCTTACCAGGATCCCTGCCTCTAACCATCGTCTCGGTTGCGGAGGAGCTGAGTCCTCATGAAACAGACAGCGGTCCTGGCCCGACAATCAGGCTCGCCAGCGCCCAAACGCGCAAGAAGCTGCTTGTCCCATGTGCAAGGCGACCGCCATCGTCAATCTGAAGGCGGCTCCGCCGGCTGGGGTTGTCTGCATGGGGTTCTAAGCTGCAATCCTCAGATGTGCAAATGCAGGAGCTTGAGCCCTGAAAACCGGTGAAGGCTGTGACGTGCGTGATGCAGTCGTCCTGTGTGCCGAGCAAAGCGCGTCGATGCTCATCAAATCCCCAGCGGTCCCCATGCCTGTGCGAGCCAGTGCAAATCAATGCAAAAGTGGATGCCGTCGTCCGGCGCCTTTTCATTTGCCTTGTGCCTTGAAGGCTGAGGAAGCTTGGTCGACGTGTTCCCAAGCTTTGCGCGAGCACTAAACCATCAGGCCCCCCGCCTCACGAGTAGCCCTACGCCCATAGCGGGCTGCCGTGTGGAGATTGGGTGAGGGTCAGGGACTGCGGGACCATCTGAAGCCGCTTCATGTCCTCGCGGAGGGACTGCTTACCGTGCTTACGCCTTGGACATTTGCACCTGGACGAATGAACACAGCAAGCCGGTGGGTGCGAGGCGGTCGGCCACGAAGAGTGTGTTACAACTCTCGCCGTCTTTCCCATCGCCGACTTGTTATTCGGCGACGAGATACATTGCAGTTGTCCTGCGTGCTGTAAGGTGTCTGGCGCATGGATCCCTGGTAGGGCTGGTGGGCTTTGACAGGCGAGACTACACATCTGCCGCTCAGTGCACCTAACAATGCCATGTCCACCAATGAGGGCGCAGGGCACCGCGAAACTGTCGGACATATCTTGCTCTGCAGGGGCGAGCATCGCAAACCCGACGCCTGCAACGACGCGATTGCTCAGCATCCTTCGACAAGCTTCTCTGCAAGGCACAGCGTATGTCGTTGCGATGACAGCATGGTGCGGTGCTGCACCGTGGTGTAAGCAGCAGCATGGGCACCGTTGCAGGAGGGCTGAGCACGGTCATGCTCCACGCGAGTCTCTATTTCGGGTCCCCCATGGCTCTCCCAAGCCACGCTCCTCTTAGCAGCCAGCGTGAGGTTTGAGGCGGGAACGGTCCGCAGCCTGGCCTAGCGGTGCCCTCAGGCTGTCCACTCGCATCCCGGCCATGTCCCAATTTTGGTGCGCGGACGCCCTGTTGCTCAGTGTGACTGACGGAACCGTTCGCCTGCACGCCCGCAGCCATGCCCGTGGGCTCAAGCCATCGACTTGCTGTAAGATCGGCCAATGCACTGCCTATGGTGGACACCCTGGAAAGCTCCATGTCTACACCCTGGACATGTCGGCTTGCAGCGTCTATGACCCTCGTCAGTTTCCAACCCCCATACTCGAGTACCCTCCTCGTTCGGGGTTGGCTCAGGCACAGCCCACAGATATTTACAGTCTCTCCATCCACAAACCTATCCGGGCGCAGCAAATTCACTCTACAATCATCGCAAATGCCTTGTTTTGGTCCGGCTTTCTTTCCCAATTAGGTCTACTACACACCACGTTAACTCTTCTCCCCTGGCGGCTGTTCCTTAATTCAAACTTCCGTCCCCCGGCTGCCTATCATCATCCCGTGGGAAAGCACCGACTCGTCCAAGACATGACCACTAGCTCATAGCCGTCTATCGTACCACCAAATCTGGAACGTTTAGCACACATTATCCACATCCCCACTTGAGCCTCTGACCCCCGTTGTTCTCCAACTCAGATATATACCATCCATCGCCTCGTCCCTCAGTCATGTCCGAACCAAGTGAGACCGGAGGCCTCCCATTGGACTTGAACACACACCAGCAACAGCAACCTACAGGCAGCACCATTCATCAACCATCACCACCTCGTGTCGACTACCGCAAAACATCACAGTCATCTAACGATCTACCCAAAGCATCCAAGGCTGCCAGCCCTCGCCGTCGTCCTGGAACCACCAAACAAGCGCCGTCCGGCCCCCACACCGGTTCCTCCCGCTCTGAAGAACAGCCAGGCTTGAGCCCTACCAACATGTCATCTCACAACAACATCCATTACACCCGGACTGGGCGTATCAGTAAAGCAAAGAAGGGACTTAAAGTTCATAATTGCGAGAACTGTGGAAGAGTAAGTTATTTCGATTCCATACCTCTTTCAGCCCTACGATGTATGTGGCGAGCTGTGCATGGGCCGCCACTGTGGTATTGCATCTCATCACACGTAGACTCATCTATGTAACGCTATGCATCTCAACCACTTCTGCAGGAAACCTTGCTGACGTACCATCAGTCTTACACCCGCGCCGAGCATCTAAGGTCAGACGGTTTCCACGAAAAGCCGGAATACCACTAACAGTATACACAGGCGACACCAGAAAAACCACGCCCAGGAAGATGCGCTTATCTGCCAAGTCCCTGGATGCGGCAAGACCTTCGTCCGTGTTGATCTTCTCCAAAGACATCAGGAGCGACAGTACGCGGAACCCAGAGTGGTCTCAACAGCCATGCTGACTTCCAACAGCAACGAGCCTGCGAGAGACTCTCCCGAGCAAAGTCCAGAAGGCTCCCCAGAGCCCACATCCATGTCTTTGCCCGCTCTCGAGCAGCCTATGATGGAGATGACAACCAACTCCGCAAGCACATCCTTTTACGAGACCGTATCTCCCGTGCAGGAGACGGCGCCATTTACAAGGTACAATCACGCCTCGTTTCGTACTCCCAGAACGCCTCAGCGTCTTTCGTTAAATCCCAGTCTCATTCCTCGTTCTTCTCCTCAAATCACGTCCAGCCCCAAGTGAGTTTCATTATACATCATCGAGCACTTATTTTCTTCTCTCAATTCGTCTCTTATCTTCTGCTTGGATGGCTGCTAATGCTCTTTTAGCCAACCAAAACATCATCGCTCGCACATCAACCGCCAGTCTGGATCAATGTCGGTAGCAATGGAAGCTATGACACCGGCTCTATGGCACGAGCCATACAGTCCCACCCCAGGGTACTCCTCATCGAGTGGGTATGCATCGCCGATCGCATCGACCGACTTCTCCGTGTTTGGCAACCCATCCTATCGAGCACGCACGCCCTCGAACGCATCCATGATGGACCCATCCTGGGGATACCCATCACGATCGCCGGCCTCGACCACCTCAACGATGGCATACACATGGGGTTCGAACGACAAGGGATCAACAGCCCCTAACCTCGCCTACATGAACGCATGCTCCTTCCCTATGACGAACATGTCGATACCGACAAGCATGGATGCGATGACCGGGTACGGACACTTCGGTCCTAGAACACTGGTCCAGAGGGACGAAGAAGAGGGGGTGATGCTCTTTGGAGAAGAACAATATGGTATGGCTTCGATCGCACACACCCAACCGTTTGAGCAATATCTTGACTATTTCTGGAGGCTCTTTCATCCCACTTTCCCCATTGTCCATCGACCTACCACTCTGAACCCGTCACCGATGCTGCGCGCGGCCATGATCGCTATCGGCAGCCAGTACTCGGCCGATTCGAGCGACAAGAAAAAGGGCCGAGACCTCCACGACCGATGCTTGAAATTGCTTGAATGGGTAGGTTAGATGCTTGGGCTTACGATCATCAACTGACTTGTAGCAGAGGGATCTCAAGGGTTCGACGGAACCGGACCGGTTATGCGATTTTCAGGCGATGTTTCTCATTGAGGTGTTGTCTCAGTACCGTGCTCGTCGGGCAGCCAAGGTCTTGTCGTCACGCTTCGACAAGGTATACCACAAGGTAGGTCGAGCGTCATTGCAGGCAGCGACGGTCGGCTAACAACACCAGGCGGTTGAAGATTGCAGGAGCACGACTTCGAAAGCAGCAGAGCTATTAGCTAGCCTCGCACAACTCGAGCAGGTCACACCGGAGCACTGGACCAGCTGGGTTGAGCTAGCTACCTGGCAACACTTGTTCTTGTCTTGTTACATCCTTGAGTCGCAGCAGCCTATTCTACTCGCCCGCGAAGCTCTGACTTCTCTCATCCATGACAGCCGCTTCGACATCCCCTTCCCAGCGCATGGTTCTCTCTGGGATGCGACCAGTCCCATCGAGTGGGCTGCAGCTGCTCAGCAGTACCCTTACACGCCATCATACGTCGACGAGGTTACTTCCACGTCCCTACCAAGGCCTCTCGATACCTTCCAATCATCTGTCATCCTCTCCGTGCACTACAGTCGCCACAAGGCCTCAACACCATACATGTCCTCATCGACGACCTCAAGCCTCGAACATCTGCTTGACGACGCACCTGCCACTAAGCGCATGCTATCCGTAGCAAGGCTAGTACAAGTAACACCTATTCGCGCCTTGTTGGCTGTCGCATGCGAGTCATGGATCTTCTCCGAGAAAGTCGCTACCGCCCAAGCTTTCGCAGCGTTGAAGACCACCCTCCGCACATGGATCGCACAGCTATGGTGCACGACCGAGACGGAAGGCGCGCCCGTCAAAGAGGCACTCAAACTCTCCATCGACATCCTCCAACAAGCCGTCTCGGAACAAAGAGATCGCATCCCCCTAGAAATGGGCACAGACATGTCCGTCTTCTTCGCCGCCCTGGTTCTCTGGGCTATCACCGTCGCAGCAACTACCCGCACCAAAGCCGCCCATCAGAAGGCCAGACAGCAAAACCGGCGACCAAGCAACTCCGAGTCTCCACCGATATTCTCCCCTACGACATGGGCCTCAGCACCACCAACCTCCTCTTGTTCCTCCACCTCAACCAGCCAACCCCACTCCCCCATCATCTCCGCCACACCCGAAAACCCTCTGTTGTCGCACGCGCAAATCATCATCAATACGATTTCTTTCCTCACAGACACCCTCGCCATGTCCGATACCACGGCTTCCACACACCAGCATCTTGCAGACCATGCGCGCCGCCAGACAGGTTGTATCAGCCTGCTACTGTGGGTCAAGCTTCGTCTTCGTGGTGTTTCACTTGAAGATCAGAGCGGTGCTGCGGCTGATGCGTCTAGTGAGGGGCTGGGTGAGCTTTTGGAGGGTGTGGTGGGGTCTATTGAGACGATTTTGAAGAAGGGGTGGGGGGATTGGGGGATCTGAAGTGATAGCTTTTCTCTTCCCCTTCCTTCTTCTTTCTCCAGGTCCTGCACTTTTGCATTTTGGTCTTTTTTCACACTTGCATATGCTTTCGTCGCGTTACGATACTATATTCTCCTCTTCTGACTTCTCTTCCTTCACTTTCCTCTTAGCGCAGCATTTCGGCTTGTATGGGCAAGAATACGGTCTCATGTTTTGTTTACGGCGGATACCCCTGTCTACATAGTTCTTCTCACGCGTTCACGCTGCATGGCTTGCTTTCTGCGGTATAGACTGCATCTTCCATGATTACGTTTACGTCTCGGTTTATCATGTCATGTCATTTACGCTTCATGTACGAATACTTCTGCAATTACATTGCTGTGCCTAGCTATATACCATCTTTCTCTTCTACTTCATAAGTCACCTGTACATTAGAATCCCGCAATAGAGCTTTCCTATTTGCACAATCTGATTCATCTACCTCGTAAGGCAAGATCAGCCTTATCCAGCTAAACCACCCCTGCGCCTTTTAACCATGAAAGATCATCGCAGGAATCGCAGGGCGATATCCTTTCCTCCATTTACGCCACCTCGGCGGTACATTGTGTGCTGAATCCTGCAGGAATGCATGAGCTTACGTGCGTCTAGTTAGGCAACCAACCTCCACCACCAACAACACCAACACAGATTCCACGTGGAAAAGATCCTCAAAAACATCTCAACGCGGTATACTAATGACGGTACGTAATTTGGTAATTTGACAGACATACGAGAGAAGTGAGCAACTACGACCACGAGAGAAGTATTCACGCCCACCGCCCCCTAACCCACTCAACCTCCCTCTCCGTCCTCCTCCACCCCCCACTCTCACCCACCCTCCCTTTATCTCGCACATACAGTAATTCATCTCCCCTCCGCTGAACACGTACCTTCTCTTCCTTCTCCACCTCCTTCTCCTTCTCCCTCCTCTTCTCCCTCAACAACACCGCATACTCCGCCTCACAACTTCCAACGCGCTGGGCGTACGAACTTGGCTGATACCCACTATACCCATACCCACACACTTTACTACACTCGATTTCGTGCGCAAGACTCCTATGCGCTACTTCCGCGGCGTGACTGGGCGTGTATGCATGGCGCGCGGGACGGGTTGTGAACCAAGACGGGAGGCATTCGCTGTGGGTTTCAGACTTGTAGGACGTGTGACGTGAGGGCTCGGTGAGGCGCGTGAGATATGGTTTTGTTGCGTAGGAAGTCGTGGTGGAGATGTTTTCGTGGGTGGAGAGGGAACGGCGCGTGGAGTGGGCGGATTTGGTGGTGAGGAAGAAGGGTGTCATGGTCGTGTATTGCGCGTTGCGTGTAGGGGAGTTCCGTGATCAGTGATGTTCTGGTTGTTCTGGCTGTTCTGGATAGTAATGTGTGTAGACCTGTGTGATATATGATGTTCAGCTTGACAAGTTTGTTGATGGATGTGAGACTCATGGTTTGCTGGTTGGACTGGTGGTGTCTGGGAAGGTCTATTGATCTGGAGACAATGCGGAGAGAAATGTCTTAGATGGTGTACAGTGGTTTCTAGACACTGAGAGACGTGTCTGGATGTGAGTCTGAATCCCGCTGGATTGACGAAAACGCAAACACGGTATAGTATAGGAGAAAACTGCATTTGTCAAGACACGATGTGTCGTCCGAAGATGTAGAAGAACTTATGGATATCGCAAAGGTATACTGCCTGATCTCATACACTGACCTCCGTTCCCCTTCCTCATATTACTCATGCCCTACAACTTCGACCTCCGCTGGAGATATAGCTTGATAGCAACCGCCGCTGTACTTGTTAGCTTGACGGACACGCTTGCCACCACACGCATAGGTCACTTACCAACAATAGCCGCCAAACTCTTGACGCCCAGCAATCCCATAAACCATGAACCCCATCCAAAAGCCCTGCCCTCGCGATCGAAGTTGGGCTTGATGTCGTTCATGCCGATGAACTTCTTCTGCTTGGCAGCTGTGTATGGTGGGTACCTGACATCCATGAGACCCTCAATCCACGCTGGTGTTGTGGTAACACTCCTGCGGTGTGTGAAAGTGTCGAAACTGGCTTTGCCTCTGTATGCGCCCTGTCCACTTGTTCCGACACCGCCGAAGGGCATGGTGGGAATGGATCCGTGGAAGAAGCCGTCGTTGAGGGAGGCACCGCCACTGCGTGTTTGTTTCATGATCTGTTCGAGCTCGGCCTTGTTGCCAAAGGCGTAGGTGCCGAGCGGTGTGTCGTGGATCTCGTTTGCGATCTTGATGGCTTCGTCGAGGTTGGCGACGGGGAGGATGGGGAGGAGGGGGCCGAAGGATTCGCTGGTGACCATGCTGTCGTTCATGTCGCTGATCTGGACGACAGTGGGTTCGATGAAGAGGTCGGATTCGTCCATTGTGCCGCCGAGGACGATCTTGCCGTTGCTGTCGTCAATCATCTTCTTCATGCGCTGGAACTGGCGCTCGTTGACTATGCGACCGTAGTCGGGTGACTTTTGGGCACCCTCTGGATAGAACTCCTTGAGCTGCTTCTTCATCTCCTCGATAAATGCAGGTACCATCTCACGATCGACGAAAGTGCAGTTGTGACTGAGACAGACCTGACCGGCGTTGAGTGTCTTTGCCCATAACAGTCTCCTTGCAGCAAGCTTCATGTCCGCATGCTTTGTGACGATAGCAGGGTTCCTGCCTCCCAGCTCCAGTGTCAAGGGTGTGAGGGTCTCGGCTGCCTTCTTCGCGATGATCTTGGCGACCATCTCTCCACCAGTGTAGAAGATCTTGTCCCACTTCTGGTCTAGCAAGGCTGTTGTCTCCGGGATGGCGCCCTGGATGCACGTGTAGCATTCGGGGTCGAGGGAGTCGCGCATGATCTTCTCGATGGCGACGGCGGCATTGGGGGCGGATTCGGAGGGCTTGACGACGGCAGTGCATCCTGCGGCGATGGCACCGATGAGAGGGCCGAGGGTGAGTTGGATGGGGAAGTTGTAGGCTCTGGTCTCGTCAGCTAGTATCTCTCAACATGCAAACGCGACATACCCAATGATCAGCGCAGTGCCCAACGGGTCCTTCTTGATGCGCGGGCGGAGCGGCATGTTGGTCCAGGGGATATCCGTCGCCTTCTCGTCCTTGGCAAAGCGCGGGACGTTGTTGGCCATCCAGATGCAGTCGTTCATGCACCACGAGATCTCCGTCAGGTATGTCTCGAATGATGGCTTGCCCAGGTCGCGCTTGCACGCCTCCTTGATGAGCTCCTCATTGTCCTTGAAGCCCCAGTAGAGCTTGCGCAGCTGCTGAATGCGGTACTCGAGCGGCTTGGTCTTGTGCGAGAGGAAGCTGGCGCGGACTTTGGCGCATGTGGGCGCGATGTCGTCCATGGGCGTGTGCTCGAAAGCTGCTATTTCCGCCATTTTGAGCTGCGATGGGCGTCCTGGAGGTTCAATGGAGAAACTCTTGGATAGGCCTGGGGTGTGGAGGTTGGTTCAGGAGCTAGGGAGACGCCAATGGCGGGCTATAAGGTCCAAGGTTGAGGTGCAGGGCGTCTTGACGGCGTGGTTTCACAGGCACGCAGCTGTGCCTCGGTCCCATCCGCTTGGTTCAGGAGCGGGGCTCGCTCTAGTACTGACTAGTGCTAGCGCAAACTTCTGTGCGCCGCCCCATCTTCCATGTGTTCGTCCGTCGGCCCTTGTACCTCGCCGTGCATCATTCCAATGTCGACCGAATCTACTTTCTTGACAAGCTGCTCTCTGATCGGAATCCTTGGCAATTATTACGCATCACTATGCACCCAGACTAATATCAGAATGCCTTGACAAGGACACGCATTGGTATCTAACACTGTGTATTTTTGAAGTCTGCTGAACTATCCATACCTAGATACTTGGTACACAGATAACATACACAACTGCTGCTTGATGTCCAGCTCATTTCTCCTCAGCAGAATATGCATACCCCACACGTTTGGTCCGATGCGGAAAGCACTACGAGAAGAACTTTCGCTTTGCGTTGACAGCCCCTCCAGGCAACACGCAGTATTCCCTGTCACCCAGTCCTCGACCCATCCTCAGACTAGGAGCTAATGGGGCAACCGAGAAGACGCCCTTGATTGCAATGATGCAAGGGCGGCGACGTCTCATACAGTAGTCGCACGCGTACTGTCCCGCTTCGCCTTCAGCCGGCCACTTGCATATCTCGTTCAACGCCTTCTTGAACAAGCACGTCCATCTACCTTTGGAACCATTTGCTTTACTATCCTCTGCCTTGGTCATGTCGCGATCAAGCGAAAGCAGGACGCTGAGGGCTTTGAAGATGGTAATATAGGCGTCGGTCCGCACAGAACCGTGGATGGCGGTGTCGCAATCCCGCATCTGGGCCTTGATCGAGAAATTGCTCGGCACCTTCTCTTCAGTCATGGTACGGTTTCTGATCCCCATCAAGAATCCTTCGATACGGAAGTTCGTGAGAGACAACGATGAGGCATTGGGGCTTGGAGGTACCCGTGAAATAGGGGCGTCATGAGACTGCGGTAGTCCGTAATCCGCACCCGTACCATTTCCAGCCGCAAGAGTGCCCAATTTGCGCCGCTTGACGATATCCAAGTATTCGACGACCGTTGGAACGATGAGCTGAGTCTTGATGTCCTGCCTAGCATCTTTCTGGAGGTCGGGTATAACCTGCCACATGGCCACCAGGGACGGATCTGCATCTCCAGCAATAACATTGTCAAGCTCAGGTTGTACGAAAGACGACAAGCCCCCGGCATAGCTTCGATCGTCTGGATGTAAAGGCGTTGGTTCCGAGCGTTTCCCGAGAACAACGCCACGCGAAGCAGATCCTAGAGCGTCATGAGCTGGCTCGCTCTCCAGTGTGTGTCCTGCGTCGGACTGATGTGCTTGAGTATGCATCACACGAACATCCTCCTGCACCCCGCCTTCGAGCCAGTCATCCAAATGTGAACCTGCTTGTCGCCTCTCCCTAGCTCGCAGAAGCTTCGAGACCTTCCTCTGCGCCTTGTTGGTTTGCTTGATTTGTTGACCCAACTCTTGCACACTCGCCATTGTTATGAGATCTGGGCGAAGGAGCATCGAGCGAGCATAGTCTGAGGGAGTCGCCATGGTCACTAGTCCCTCATTCTGCAGTCCTTGAGCTACTACATCTTCTAGGAGAAACAGTCCAAGTCGCTTTTTTTGACGGAAGGCATTTGCCCCCTTCTTCGACAAGCCGGTCGGCTCGTTGATGCGGTACAAGGCTGTGATGATCATTCGAATGTCCTCAACCTTCGGAAGGTCTCCGAAAACATACCAGTTTTCGATGAAAGTAGAGCGTTGGAAATCTTCTAGATCATTTGTGGCCTTGATGTTGTCTTCGTCTTGCTTTTCGGTCAGGCGTCCTTTAAGCACGTTATGCGTATATTCGTATGGGTCTGCGGGCTCAACATCTTCTTGCTTAATGACTGCGTCCGTTGCCAGTTTATGACGGGTGTATTTGGAGGGACCCGAGGTTTCTTCAATCGCTTCCCTTATCGGTGGTTGGGCGTCACGAAGTCGATGTGTAAGCTCGAAAGGACTCGGAGGTGGCTGAGCTACCAGCTGTCGCTTCTTTTCTCGGATTGCGCGCAGTGATGCAACAGTAATCGGTGGTGAGGTGTTTCGTTCCGCCATCCTGCGTGGGTAATCACCGAGGGTGGCTTTGAGGCGGTGGTATCCCTGTATGGTTGTGTGTGTGGGAGTTGGGCGAGGTGGTGAAGCTCATTTGTTTGCCAAGACAACGTGGGATAGCGGCCGTGGAAAGAGCACATGTGGGCAGATGGGCGGTCCTGCACCTCACGAAAGAGATGCAGTTGCTACAGCAAGGATTTTCATTGGGGAACAGGCAACCACACCTCGTCTGAGAGACTGCTTGCCACTGCTTCTCTGTATACGCCAAATAAAACATCATGCTGCTGCATGTGAAGGCATCTGGGTATGGGCTCTAGCTTCCGAGATCGACTCACTCACAACATCACTTGTACCATGAATTAGCAGGCTGGCAGGATCTGTTCGCTGCTGATCGATTTCCGTCTCTCGAAAGTTACAGGCGTACGCCTGGCTCCCTGCCACGACCCCAGTGTGGCACATTAGACCTCATAAAAGCGATGACGTCCAGGCAAGGACCGAGCTACACCGTTACCGGATGGATCTCGAATGAATCTTTGTCATACCGAGTGCTGGGTAGATTACAGGCATGAGCATATACTTGGGGTAGGATGGGTGGTTGCTGACGCTGGGCGCCTCCGCGGGAAAGCTCGACGCTAGCTTGTAGACTAGCTCTCTTTAAGCGATAGCTCCCTTTCGAAGACGCGTCCGATCAATTGATGCTAGAACGCGTCTAGCTATGAGTTCATCGCGTCCGCTTTTCTCACGCTACCTCCTCCACACATCGCATCTGCTTGCGAGCCATCCCGCCCACGATCATCGTCTTCGTCCCAAGTCTGTAGCGATGCGCATCCAATGGAGGATCATCAGAGACGCGACATTTGAGGCTTAACATGAGTGCAGTGCCTGCGACTGATTGTCAATGATGCCGTGCACGGCTTACTCGTGGCTGTATGTCGTTTACACGCATTTGCTGACATTTCAGACATAAGGCGTCCTTCCCTACCATCCGCGCTTGCTGCATGCAAGATTATAAATGCGGTGCATTACAAAGCGAGAAGCTTACACAACAGCACCTCATGAGATGTAGAAATACCCGGAGGACCTGGCGACGTCGGACTTCAATACAGTTGTACTTGCTACTCCAGAAAAACTCGTCCTTGTTTCGATTTTTGAGCAAAATGGCATCAGCGATCCGCCCAGTTCGTGCTGCGCTCATCGGGCTGTCTTCCTCGGGAAACTCATCGTGGGCCTCGGCAGCCCATCTCCCAGCATTGCTCACCGAGACTGGACGCTCAAAGATCACCATCACCGCGCTGGCTAACAGCAGCGTTCAGGCTGCAGAGTCCGCCATCCAGAAGTACGGACTTCCGGAGCACACCAAGGCATATGGGTCGCCAGAAGATCTCGCAGCTGATCCTGACATCGATCTCGTCATATGCAACACGCGGGTCGACAAGCACTACGAGACAATCCTTCCCAGCATCAATGTAGGCAAGGACGTCTATGTCGAATGGCCAATCGCCAGCAACAGAGATCAAATCGATAAGATCGTCGAAGCGACCAGGAAGAGTGGATCAAGAGTTGCCGTAGGCTTACAGCGACGATGGACACCACCAGCTGCGAAGCTAAGAGATATCCTGGATAGTGGAAATGGTAGACTTGGTAAAGTGCTAAGCTCAGACGTGCGCGCTTTCGGGGGCACAAACGACAGGGAGATGATGCCTACTAGTCTGAAGTATTTCTCCCAAAAGGATATCGGCGGAAATGCTATCGTGATAGGCGTCGGTCATGGTGAGATTCACTTCCCATATGACTAGTCATTACTGACTCTTAGCAGTGCTTGACATCATACTCTCAGTTGTCGGCCGACTTGACCCACAGTCCGTTCATTCGAAATCACAGATCCAGCGCCCCAACGTCCGTGTTCTCGACCCTCAAACCAAGCAAACAGTTGAAAAAGTAGTCACCGACGTACCCGACTTCCTAGCCGTCCATGGCACTATAGCGCCGTCTCCTCTCCCCGCCCCAAATGCAACACTATCCTTCCTGTTCCGCCGCGGCCAGCCGTTTCCCGGTACCCCAGCTCTGACATGGGAGATAAACTGCGAGTACGGCGAGATTCGCATCACGTCTGCCACGAACATGGTCTTTCAGATGAACGAGGGAGATGGGCCGGTCGTGATACAGGTGCATCATTTCGATACTCATGAGGTGGAGAATGTAGACTGGGATTGGAGAGATATGCAGAAGGAAGTGCCGGTTATTGGACGAGATGTCATGACCAGTCTTTTTGCGTTTGCAGAAGGCAAGGCCGAGGGAGAGGGGTGGGTTGGCTTAGAGGATGCAGCGGCATACGCGCGGATGATTGATGGGTTCTTAGAAGAGTAGCAGGAGGATCAAATAGGTTAGAAGCGGGGGCCCACTTTTTCCCTTGAACGAGTGTGAGCGCGTCTCTCACGTGCAATACCGCAAAGTGGATCCGAGCTCACCAGGTAATCGCCCAACGATTTCACAACGCCGTCACTCTTTCCTGTTTGTCCCACTCACACGATGGACGAGACCGGATCTCGACAGCCCCGACAGTCAGAAATGACGCCCTCGAATGCGCGTACGATAACTAAGGATCTACCAGTCAAGTTGGCCTCGCTTGACCAAGCGCTGCAGCCATTTCGCCATTCCTATACCCACACGGATCGAATTCTCGATGTATTTGGTTTGGTCCTCCAACGCGTGTACGATTGTCGCGAGAAGTCTCCGGATGCGCTGCCATCAACAGAGTACCAACAGCACATCCATGCCCCATGGATTCAAACTTTACAGTGGCTTCGCGATCCCGAAGCCTTTCGCTATGCTGACCCGGAATCACTGCAAGTAGCGCAGCTGATGGCCAAGCAAGACCCAGTCCGCATCTGGTTCGAGCTAGACTCGCATGTTCGACAAGATATCTTCGGTGGCAATCCATACGACGTTGTGATAGATCTCGGGCTAGGGTACACCAAAGTCAAAAGGGGACTGAAGTGGCTGGTTGACTGCGCTACTCTCAGTTTGTCAGAAGAATCTCAGTGGTCGAAGGAGAAAGATACTGCGATGGCAAATTTGACGGCTGTCGCAACCTGCGGGCCGGTCTACGGTCTAGCGGAGTCGAATTCTTCTCTCGATTATTCCCACGAACTTTTCGGCCCCGGAGGCGTACTGTGGTCGGTAATGGAGGTCTTCACCCGCGAACCGGGTAACTTTAGCGGTATTGTGGGTATACTGGATATGGTCATGCAGCAGACTTTCAACGTTGCCCTCCTTTTCAGGTACTCTTATGAGCACGATGATCGTTCGAGCAATCAGAAACCGGCATACAAATGGTATGCAATGGGCCTAGAGGAAGCGCGGACGAAGTACATATACTCTGTGGAATGTCAAGATCCTCAAGCACTGATGCCATATCATGTTCGAGATGGCCTAAAGAACATCGACTTCATTGGGCTTTGGGACACTATATGGGAGAAGGCATACGATATGAGTCTTAATTTCGATTCCGATCCACTAGATCTGGAGTTCAACATGTCCCTTTGGGTTGTGGGACAAATGAGGCTTCCATCCTCCGATCCTAGACCCTGGATACCGCTCGCCAACGTGGCTCTTATCACCGAAAGGCGGTGTAAGGAGTATGAGATGAGCAGAGAAGGCGGTCTGAATATCGCGCCAGTTGACCTCTATACACCTGCAGGAGATTTTCATATACCAAATTTCGCCAACAAAATAGACGTAGAAGCTATACTACGCAGCCGAGGACCGCGATTCTCGTCGACAGGGCGGGGTCATCGCTTCTATGATGAGGATGACGACTCGGACACATTCGATGCAGATGACGAAGAACACGAATTCCCAGGTTTCACCGTCGACGATACCGCCAGCGTCGAACCTTACGGCCCTACAATTTCTCTCATTGATCTTGCTACTGACGCAACAACAATCCCCGAGGATCAATGCTGTACAATCTGTATGGAAGATCATGTCGATGGTACTAGACGCTCGGAAACTGTGAAGCTCAATACGTGCGGACATCTGTTCCACTACGACTGCATCTTCGAATGGCTCAACGGGACGTCTTCCAATAGCAACCTTTGCCCGGAATGCCGTATTCAGTTCAGCGAGCAGCGTAGACCGGTACGACCAATTCAACCGGCATCAGTGTCGTCCTCAGAATCTGGTGATACGTGGGTTGTGTCCAGCGACGAGTTTGAAGATGAAGAAGAGCGAAGCCTTGAGCCGATTTCCCAGCAAAATCGAGCTGATGGCGATGCCGTGAACGAGACGGAAGAGACCTCAGCTCACGGAGATACACCAGCTCAGCCTGCCACGACGGGAGAATCAGCTTTGGAATACATGACCCTTCCGCAGAGATTCATAGTGTACGAAGGCGATGCGAACCTGGGGGATAATGATGAGGAAGAGGACAACGACCACGAAGACCTCAACGACTCTCACAACACCTCCTCTTCTTCTACTTCATCCCCAGATGCCGGACTCAGCGATCCGCAAGAAAACGTATCCGTTCCCGCAAATACTAGGCGGCAGAACCGTATTCTTAGCATTGATTACAGTGCGATTTGGGACGGACACGCATTCTCAGACGAACCAAATGACGAGGATGAAGAAGGGTTTGGCGAATGGATGGACGATCATGACAGGTTGACCTAGTCGCATGATCATTAGTACGAGGCACCTGGTCGGTATGTGGACGTGAGTCGAAGAAGATGAAGATATCGGACATGACGACTGGGGTGACATCAGGAGCGAGAATCGTACAAGGAAATAATCGTGCCAACGACGTGGGTAGAGTTTCATAGCACCTCCTTCGAAGGAAAATTGAGCCTCTAGAGCCTACGTTGGCGTTGGGTCGCCTATTTTGCATGTTATCATCTTAATGGAGGCTGCAGACCTGTTTAGCTCTCTTCTTGTACGTGGTGATTAGCTGATGAAACGCCCACCTGCCACATTAGCCTGCCCTGGATGTCGTGTGTATTTCATGGTGTAGCATCATGTATTGTGCATCGTCTTCGCGCTCACTTAATAACTAACGGTTTCGCGCCAACCTTCTCCGCTTCCGCGTTCAAAGCATCAACTTCCGCTTGCACCAACGGAATTCCAGTCTTCTCTCTTTCCTGTTGTTGCAGCTGCTCGAGCTCGCCTGGGAAGTAAATCCTCTCCACACCCGCCGCCTTCTCAGCACCCGTAACCCTGTCATACAGAATTTGCATCCTCTCCCTGAAGTCGTCCAAGCTCATGAAAAGATCAGGTTTCACTGCGACAAGGAAGTGGCCAACGTCTGAGGGTCTGGAAGGGTCGTAGGGATTCGTAACGTCGCCTGCGAATGCGGAGCCGGAGAGTACACCGGAGAAAACGTCCATCATGACAGCCAGACCCGAACCTTTAGGTCCTCCCATGGGCAACATCACGCCGCCGTCGAGTGCGGCCTCTGGGTCGTCTGTTGTCTTTCCGTCTTTGTCCAGCGCCCAGTCCAGAGGAATCTTCTCGCCCCTCCTCTTCGCTTTGTATATCTTCCCTCTTGCTGCAATTGACGGCGCCATGTCGAGTACGAACGGTTGGTCTTTCCCCGGCGCACCACATGCTATCGGCGAGACACCCAGCAGTTTGCTCTTCCCGCCCCAAGCCGGTAGCGCAGGGCTCGAATTGGTAAACACCAAACTCATCATATCGGCGTCAAGCGCCTTCTGTACGACCCAAGCACTCATACCAAAGTGATTCGAGTGCTTGATGCTCGCCATCCCGATACCATATGTCTTTGCGGATTCGATGCACGCAGCCATACCGGCGTCTGCTGCAAGAAAGCCGAAGCCATTGTTGGCGTCGACTTGGGATACTACTGGCGTGACTTGGGTGAGAGTAGGTGTTGCCGCACTGTTCAAAACGCCTTGACGTACCCGCTCCATGTATGACGGAATTCTGTTCATGCCGTGGGTGTCGACGCCACGAAGGTCGGCTGCTATGAGGCATCTGGCAACGATGTTGGCGTTTTCGGGCGCGACGCCATTACCAACCAGAACTGAGGCTACGAAAGATCGTGCATCTTCAGCGTTGACGTAGAGCTTCTTGTCTGATGTGGGTTCTGTCATGTTTGTGTTGGACGTTGAGGGTTGAGGTGCCAAAGTGGGTAAGGAACGAAGGACTGCTTGGTATGCTTGTCTCGTATCTTATATGCTTCAACGAGCGGAATAGTGAGTCACGGTTCTCGGAAAAGCATCTGACCACTAATGCGTTCTGTTGAGTTGTGGAGATAGCTAGGAGGGTTGTCTGAGTCAGCGCATGTAGACTAGTGAAGACGGACTTTCCCGCTGTTCCCCGCAATCCTCAATCAAACATCATAAACCTCAGGATGGAAGACATCAAGCCTGAATCAAGTTCAGGCTCCTGCGCATACGAACCTAATTTGCCGAGAGATAGCATTTGAGCATTGCGAACAAGACGCGACTGACTTCCTGCTGACCGCTGATTGGACGCAGGGGAGCGAGATGGTCAACAATGGATCATGATGGCCTCACTCAGTGAGCGATACTCCGAGCAGATTGTGGTATTTTAGCTGTCGACGATGACTGAGTGATAAGTTTCGCAGTGACCTTGTTCTTTCCTGTTTCGTCTCCTGGGTTGTCTTGGCCACAAACAAGACCACAACTGTTTCGGCGCCACTCATTGCTCATGAGTCTCTTCCAGAGCTTTGATCCCTATTGGAAATTAGAACAAAGGAACAGAGGTCTACCTGGTGAGAACGAAGTGGTCGAAATAACTGGACGCAGCCACTGCGACTTCCTCTTTCCCCGCCAAGCCGCACGTGCTTGCTCACAACCTTGGAAGCGCGGGTAGCTGCACTCACATCTCACCTCTTGTCGCCTCAATTTACTGAACACCCTGTCAAAATCCCATAGAACTCTCGAAATTCCCAAACATGGACGACGAAGGCCCTAAATGGCGACTTGGTATGTTCCGTCACATCGCTTCCCCAAAATCTTGGCTAATAACATCAAGAGCAGGCGAGCACTGGCCGCGCAACCTGCAGCCAGGCTGCCTGCAAGCGCAGCCAGATCAAGATCGCGAAAGGAGAGCTACGTATCGGTACTCACACGCTGTTTGAGCCAGAGGCTAGATGGTACATGGCCTGGCGTCACTGGTAAGTCTACCTTCGTCTGAAGCCTCCTACGCCTGCTATGTATGTACTGACATAGCAAGGGGCTGTGCGACCAAACACCAGATCGCGGGCCTGAAGGAGACCACCGGCGACGACCCGACAAAGGCACCTGGCTACGATCGACTTAGCCCAGAGAGCCAAGAGCAAGTACGGCTAGCCTTCGAGGGTCAGCCGGTCGACAAGAACTTCAAGGGCATCCGAGAAGACCTGGCCAAGGACGCTCAGCGATACGCCAAAGAGTACACTGATGTCAGCTTCTACAAGGTTGACGTTGCTGGTCGTGCATGCGCTTGCCGTGGCAGCGACTGCCTCTCTAAGAACGTGAAGATCACCAAAGGTGAACTGAGGCTTGGTCTATCTGTACCGTTCGATGGCGAGCACGAGAGCATGGTCTACAAGCATTGGCAGTGCATGTCAGCGTTCGACTTGGAAGAAGTGGTTCGCCGAGCCAGTGAAGACATGTTCGATGGCCGTGACTCCCTTTCCACAGATTTTGAGGAAGTCGTGACCGAGTCACTTGAGACAGGCAAGGTCGTCAAGCCACCAGCGCCCAAGATCGAGTCGCGTGCGAAACCAAAGAAGAGCCAGGCCCAGAAGAAGAAGGCCAAAGGCGAGGCAGAAGAAGACGCCGCAGAGGCCGCAGAGACCAAAGTCAAGGCAGAAGATCCGGAACACGAGGTGGAACCACAGCCGAACGTCGCCTATCCGCCCACGCCCCCGCTCGAGATGGAGAAGGTACCAAGCACAAGTAAGGTCGGAGGAGCAGTCGATGCCCAGCCGACTGAGGATGAACCGACCGTCGGTGTCAAGTTTGAAGAAGCAGGATTCGATGACGCGGTCAAAGCTACAGATGCAGCAGCAGTTCCCAAGCCCAAAGCCAAGAAAACGCGAGCGAAGAAGCGTCCTATCCGAGAGGTGGATGGAAGCGAGGATGAGCCTGAATACATCCCCAAGAAGTCGAGAAGCCGATCAACTCCGTTCGCCGGTACTGCTGGTCTTACATAGCGCGATGGCATTCCAAGGGAACCCACGATCAAGTAGGAGAGCGTGTTGAGGACTGAGAAGGTGAAGGGGATGACAGTGAGGTGGCAGCTGACTGAACATGTACAAAGAGCACATACATAGCTGAAGGAATCTATAGCAAGATTCTTCTGAATCAAGATACCCGCGCGATTAATATTGACCAAATCGTCGACACTGTCGCAGGTCGCGTTGACTTCGCGTCACAGCTAGTTCCCTGACGCACGACCCACCTGAGCTCGAAGTGGCGCATCCTTGCCGCAAGCTGTCCTCCCCGCAACACACAACCAACGTAGCTCCACTTCACGAACCGCCCTATCTATTGTCCTTCGCCAATCGCCCAGTAACTACCTCGTGCCAAACCCTATACACTCGGAAATAGCCACGATGCCCTCCAAAATCATACCCGTAACCTCCGCTTCGCACTTTTCCCAACTTCTATCGCAATCCAAATACACTATCGTCGACTTCTACGCGGACTGGTGCGGACCATGCAAGGCAATCGCGCCAGTCTTCCAGGGCTTAGCAGAGAAAGAGACCAAGCCAGGCAAAATGCAATTCGTCAAGGTGGACGTGGATAGCCAACAGGAAGTTGCAAAGAAGTATGGCGTCAGCGCGTACGTACACCCCGAGAGACACACTTGCATGCTAGGATGTAGGACACTGTAGATTCATGAGCTAACATAAACACTGTTCAGTATGCCAACCTTCCTCGTCATCAAATCCACCTCCGTCGTCGAAACCATCCGCGGCGCCAACCCCGCAGCCCTCACGGCCGCCGTCCGTAAAGCCGCAAACGATACTTCTGGCCCGGGTGCTGCCTCCGCTGTCTTCTCGACCAAAGGTCGCACACTTGGCTCCGCTTCAGAACCCAGTCGGCCGGTCGGCGAAAGCCCTTTTGCCGGCCTACAAAGGATGCTGACTGGTAATGGCGGACTGAGCGATGTGGTGGTCAGGTTTGCAGCGCTGTACTTTGTCAGCCTGTTCGCGTTTGACTCTTTCAAGGCCGCGGAAGAGAGTCCGTTCAATGTTCGCGCGAGACGGTAGAAGATGGCGGAGAACACGGAGTGATAGCACGTATGCGGAGGTTCGGCGTTTAGGGTAGAGCATGGCGTTTGTGGTATACCATTCTGAGGTTTAGTGTTTTCGCAATATTGACATTGTCAGCAGTACCGGTATAGAAGAGCTCGTTCGAGCTTCTAGGTACCGCTGACTGCGATATTTCATTCACATCTCGATCTTGGTTCCGCTCTGGTTCTGGCAAGATCGCTCTTGACTCATCCATCTTTCACATTTCCCTTTCATTCTCAGCTTGACTTGAAATTGCTAGTAGGAAAGTCCACGTGTGACCATGCATGACTATGCTATCAAAGCAAGCTTTGTGCAAACAATCACGATATACTCACTTTATATCCACCTCTGCGATACTCTCACTACACCAAACGTGAGGCCTACAGATGATGGACCCTTCTTCCGGCTTCACACCCAAAAAAGCTCTTGCTAGCTGGAACCACGCCGAACTTTTACAGAACTACCGCGAACTTTACGCAGAGTACGACAAGTACACGATGCTCGCTGCGCAGTTCGACAGCCCCAAATTACCCTTCGGACGAGAGCGCGCGCTTCACAACCTAGTCAATGCACGAGCGAAGGTGGAGCATGATATCAAGAGACTTAAGAAGACGTACCAAGAAGAGCGTATGAAACTAGCATGTCAGAATCTCGATGCGAAGCTCCGCGAGGCACTCGAACAAAGTCGAGACACATTGGCAGCTGTCTTGGATGAAGATCGCCGCCCTCCGCCTGACAAGCTCATGAAGGAGAAGGCAGAGTTGCAGAACGAGAAGACTAACCTGTTGTTGCAGTTGCGAGACTTGTTGTACAGATATAAAGAGCTGCTGGAGAGTAGAAGAGAAGGAGAAAAGGATTGTAATAATAGTAATATACAAGAGGTGGAAAGCGAACGGGACCTGCTTCGAGAAGACCTCGATATTGCTCGGGTGGAGTGTGAGAAGTTGAGACAAGAGGTAAAATACCTTGAGAGTGCGCTGGGGGTAAACTGATAGGTGAAGGGAGTACGCGGTCGGATGCGGGAGTGCATTAATGATATCTGGGCAGGATTACATAGCTAATAACAGTCCAAATCAGTATCTATAAGTAAAGACTGGTTTACTAGACGATGAGCTCGAGCCACTCGACGAGGGTCTTTCCCCATTGATCTCAGCCTTGTCCTTCTTACCCAGCACAACCCTTTCACACCAAGAGCACCAACTCCTCAGCTCGCCCTTGACCTCTCGCTCAAGATACTGAATCGACTTCTTCTTCTCGTCCTCAAACAGCTTAACGCATTCGCCGACGCGCACCTGCTTCTTGTGTTTGACCTTGAGCACACCGCCGATGCCTTCGATCTCCTGTGTAAGGTAAGAAGAGCCCCTCCAGCGTTCGGGTGACTCAGGGGTTTGCGATCTCTCTTTCTCGATGGTGTCGAGGAGGTTTTGCTCGCAGGTCTCGTGCTCGACGATGTGTGCGCCTAGGCATGCGGAGCCTCGTCCGCATTCTACGCCCTCGTTGCCTTCGCCGAGACCGATGCCTACGCCGCCGTGCATGTGGCTGTACATGGTGCGCCAGCTCCAACCGCGGACGTAGGTGGTATCGGCGTTTCGCAGGTCCTTGCCACATGGCGCGCAGAGCCAAACTACATTGTCGCAGTTGCAGGGTGTACGCTCGAAAGCTGGCGCCGTAAAGGCTCGCGGGTTGTCACCATCAAAGAGCACTGGATGTGTCTCTGGTGACCCGGGTGGCGAGGGAGACGTCGACAAGGAGCGCTGCTTCTGCACAGCCATGAGCAGTGGGAGGGGCGCTTTGGTACACGTGCGACATAATCGGCGATGGCGCGCTCTGAGCGTGGGCGTTGGTGGTGGCTTCATCGTACAGTTCTGCAAGACCTGTTAGCTCTATGCCCTTTCACTTGCATCTGGATGTCGTACCCGGCATACGACTTTCCCACACCGCTGGCAGTCGCCCACCATATCGCGGGCGCATTTGCCGACGCGACCAGTCGTCAAGCGGCTCTCTAAGACATGTCGCCCCTCGTGCAGTCGCGAACCAGGCTTCTCACTGAGGTCATCGTCTTCATTCTCGCAATGAAGCGTATGTCTGACCAGCTGGCTGCGATATTCGAGCAGATTCGCGCGAAACTGCCTGCAAGTACGTGAGAGGTCGTGAAGCGTGTTGAGGTCGAGCTGAGCAGCGAGCTGACTGACTATCCTGCATAGTTAATATGATTAGCATACATCAAAGCGCGGAATCAAGTCCATGCTATGGCTGGAGCGTACGGATAACAGCTAAGTGCCGCGCTGAATCCATTGATATTCGGGTTCGGCCTCTCGGCTGCTGTCGTCACGTCGCCTTCATCAAGGGAGCGACGCGGCGGACAGACGTTGAACCGGCCGGAAGATGGATGGGGCGTCTCTAAATTGGGCAGTTCATCGTCTCCCAGATCAACTAGGACCACCATGGTTAGTAGCTACAAAACGAGTGTGCAGCATCGAAGCCAGACAGGGCTTGAATGGAGAGAAATGAGAGTCGTGATGGAGACTGCGATGCCGGAGTCATGACGAACTGGAGACACGCTCCGTCGCGTTGGTGGGGGGCTTGGCGGACAGCGGCTTTGCTTCCGTTCGTTACGCGTCGCAGTCGTTCGCTCTTCACTCGGCCCGTGACGTGGGTCTATCATCGTGACGCGAGCTGTCATGGTTCTGGAAAACAGCGAATACATCACCAATCACACTGGGTTCTCGGGTTATCGGCACGCAACGAAGGAATACAGTACCAATATCACCCGAATGCACGTCTACTACGGGGATCCAGACCGACATGCCAGGCATTCTCAGAGCCTCCTTGGGAGCCGACCGCAACATTGGCTGCGGTTTCCCCTACAGGAGCCGATCGTTATACGGAAGCAATTACTGGTGCAGGCACAACTAGTCATTCTGAATATGCTGACGATCTGTCTCAGATTCAATTTACAACTAACTATACAGCCAACCACTTCAACGATATCCACGTCGACTAAAACCCTGACGACCGTACCCACGCTGCCCCCAATCTGGCTCACGCCCAGTCAGTAGTGGTCCGTTCACCGCACGCCCAGTTCTCGGATCCCAACTTCCAGATGCCCCGATGAAATTTCTGTCGCATTGCTCAGGTGGCGGGTGGATATGGCATCCTTTGGGGTTCACTGGCCCGTACCAAATGGCATCGTGCGGTAGCCCATTCCTGACTTCCCCAATCTCTGCTACTCGTCTCGCGGTCTCGCTTTGACCATCCATCGCTCGAATACTGTCAGGGTGCATGACCTGCGCACGCACCGTTCTTAATTCGTATTTCGAGTTGACCAAGTCCTTGCCTAAGATATCCATGCATCGCTGGATACACTCTTCTCTCTGTATCTCCTGGCCTTGAAGATCTAGGATGTGTACACCGTCGTATTGTGCGTGGTTGTCAACTTCGGCGTGTGAGTATGCATCGCCGTGCGTTTCTGGTCGTGCGCACCGACAAAATTGGCCGTCAATGAGATTTCTATCGTAGCCGGTGTAGTGAACCCGTGTCTGTCGTCGGTTGACTACTTGTTGTTGTGGAACAACTGCCAATTGTGGAACGAGGGCCAGCTGCGGGTTCTCGGCCTGTACAATATAAGACCCTGGAAAAGGTACTTGACGTGAGAACGTAATGTTATAGGTATACCCTGACTGCCTGTAGGGAAACATGGCTTTAGTTTCTTTAGAGTAGCAGGCGGTTGTGATGTTGTTATTTGGTGAGAGCGTGAGGATTCAGAGTTGAGCAGCCTAGGATAGGCTTTTGTACCTTGAATATGTCACTCGCAATGGCCACGTCGTCTCCTTGAGATCGTGTTGTACTTACGTTCACATCTTCAGCTACTGTAACATCTACATTTCAAGAAGAAGTTGAAGAGCTCGTAGTCCATTCTTCATGCACTTCATACATCACCCGTGGTGGCAGAGGTGACAATGACTCACAGCTAAATGATTAGATCTGCCAAACGGTTGAACGTTTGAGATTATGTGAATGCGGCTCTTTTTTATAAAGGCCGAACTGTCGTGAAGGTCACAAAGTCATGATATGAAGACGGAGAGTCGAGTGGAGGAAGCGGCGATGAGAATGAACGCGACTGGTCACTAGCGTCTTGGCATTTGTGGATCGATCCGAAGGAGCGATGCGGGTTCTCATGCATGTCACAATCGCTGAATGAGGGGCATTACCGCGTTAACGCAACGTCTATAGAAGACCCGCTGAACTTCACACTTGTCCCTGTTACCTTCCATCCACCATGGCGCATGGCACGGGAGCGGTGAACCGGCTTCGGCTCTCCACGACGCTCACCGAATGGGGGGACCACGATACGTACTAATGACGACAAAGCCATCACGTCCGTCCAGTGTCAGACAAACCGGTAAATTTTCACGTCTGCGACACGGCATACTCGCAATACCATACTGGCCTCACGGGCTTGACGCCCTTTCTATCCGTAGTTTGCGGGTCGTAGCCGGACGCTAATGCAACGAGCCCGTACCGCTGGCCCCCCATCTGCAGCAAAGTGAGCTAGATGTAATCTTCTACAAAAGCAATGTGTGCGATTCAGAAGGGACACGTAGTTCCGTCCCTGCATCCTTTGTCGGTATAACAATCGCACAAAGCAAGTGTAGTCTACAACGCCTACGAAGACCAGCTAGCAGCAAAGCGTTGCGACAAGATACAGTCCTACCACCGAAGCATACAGCACCATGACGACTTTTCTCCTTCGCGACATTCGCATTTTCACTGGCGAAGAGACTATCGACGAAGGATATGTTCACGTACTCGATGGCAAGATCAAGAGTGTTGGACCCATGAGCGATGCGCCGCTCGAACCAGTAAAGACATATTCGAAACCAGGCCACACGCTTCTCCCAGGCTTGATCGACTGCCACATCCACGCAGACAGGGCCGATCCCGAAGCTCTACCTCAAGCGTTGCGCTTTGGCGTGACTACCGTGTGCGAGATGCACAACGAGCTTGAGAACGTGCAAAGGCTGAAGAAGCAGACTTTGGAGCCAGATACTGCTTCGTACAAGACAGCAGGCCAGGCTGCCACCATCGAGAACGGGTGGCCGATACCCGTGATTACGGCTCACGACAAGAGTCCGGAAACAGCGGCGGCAATTGCAAAGTGGCCCAAGTTGACGGATCAAAGCAGCGTGGTAGAATACTTGGAGTGGACGAAGAAAGAGATGCAACCAGACTACATCAAACTCATGCACGAGAGCGGGACCAGTATGGGTCGCGAGTTCACCTACCCTTCAGTCAAACTGCAAAGAACCATCATCACGGAAGCCAAGAAGCGGGGTTACCTGACCGTCGCACACGCTCTCTCCCTGCGAGATACTCTCGATGTTCTGAACGCGGGTGTTGATGGCCTCACACATACGTTTTGCGACCAGCCGCCGACCCAGGAGCTGATAGATGCATACAAAAAGAACAACGCCTGGGTCAATCCAACACTGGCTGCAATCGGCAGTTTGACAACCGAGGGGAAAGAACTGCAGCACCAGTTCGCACATGATCCCCGGATCAAAGGGCTGATCAACGACGATCGCGTGGGCAACATGTGTAAGTGCATGGGGTTTTCTGCTGAGAACGGTAAAGTGGAATACGCATACGAGGGCGTGAAGAAGCTGAGAGAAGCGGGTATCGATATCCTCTGGTAAGTCGTATCTTTGCAGTCCAGTCATCAAGTTACTAACGAATTATAGCGGAAGTGATTCAGCAGGTCCAGCAGTGGGAACAGCATTCGGTCTGTCAATGCACCAAGAATTGAATGTCTTCGTGCACAAGATCGGCATGACACCTGCGGAGGCTTTGCGCTCGGCCACGAGCCTGGTAGCCAAACGTTTCCAATTCACCGATCGCGGACGCCTGGCAGAAGGACTCAACGCCGACATGTTGCTGGTTGAAGGCAATCCACTTGAAGATATTGATGCGACGTTGAACATCCGTGGTGTTT